TCAAATGCACATTTGGTTCCTAGATAAAATATGTCTTTCTTGCTACATCATTTGGACAAATATTATTTTAATCCTGCGCTGGCAAAGTCGCGGGCACCAACTATTAATTAAATATTTATTCCCATTTTTATACATAAATATTTTCCACATTTTTTTTAAGCTTTACTTCTGACTATTTACGCCTGACAAACAACAACGGTAAACCCAGAGCTGGTGCATTTCTCGTACAACGTATCACCGGAATATACTGAGAAAGTTAATGTTAATGCCAGGGTTAACTACTCTGCGGAAAGAATAGACTCGTTCCTTTAGAATTTAAAGTTACTGAATATTTTTAAGATTATCTTCTGAATTTTAATTATATAACTACTAAGTTAATTTGAAGCTATATATTGAATAATTTCATTTATCTAATTTTTATAAATTTTTCGTCATGTCAATATCTTCTCACAATATTTAAAAATCAAGCTACATAAACCATCACTTCAAACACTTACAGTCAATGGTGAAGCTGCACAAGGAAAATACAATAGAAATTATGATTAGTAAGCTCTTGAATCTGACATACCCAAATCAAATAAAACACAAACTATTATCATTTCTACGCAATATGATCCGATGTATTCCACTCAAAACATCATATTATTTATACAATCTATAAGGCATTGGTTAAAAAACATACAATTAATTATGTTATCTAAGTTTTGGGCACTGCCCGAAAAACAAGACTGACGGAAATACAGCGTATACAAAAACAATTTAACCTCTCCTAAAGAAATTAATAACAGCATATAATGAACATTAAGCAATTATACCCGTTTATTCACTCACTACGAAAATATATTAATAAGGTAATAAACAAAACTACAAATTGGCAATTCGTTTCATAAAGTAAGGAACGAAGTACTCGACGGGCATTTTGGCTTTACCAAGCCAAGGACCGAGAACTATGGAAAATAATTATTATTTAGAGGCTTTAAATGCCCAATAAAAAGAGTGTGCACTACCGAATACCTATAAAACTCTTTAAGCAATACATATCTATACTAATATTTTAAAGAGAAAATATTTCTATGAAAGTATGTTTGTAACGAATTAGCTCAAGTACTGGACCGATTTTAAAAATTCATTCACAATTTGAATATGTACTACATTATCACTTATTAAATTAAATTAATTGAAAGAAAAAAAAATAAGGATCCCTACTAAAACTACAATAATCTTACCTAATGTGTAAAAAAATGCCTGATAGAATAAAAAAAAGTTCCAGATTATTAAAAACATATTTATATCTACAAAATTTTCCTTCTACCCTAGTACGTACGCACAACGGACCAACCACGAGTCTAATTGCGGAGAAAGGAGTCCTTCTCTACAAAAAAACACCGTGCGAAGCCGGTACGAGCCGCTAGTTGTCTCAACGAGTAATATGAGTATTTGGTGACGGCACACAGGCGCAGGCACTGCACACATGACAAAATATAAATTTATTTTTATCTATATATTTTTAACAGATCGACCATACGTTTGGGTGAATATAACACGGAGACCAACCCGGATTGTCAGTTACAAGTGTGTGCACCCCCGTACCAAGATAGAAAAATGAGGATAAAACGTATTCATCGGAGCTTTAATACGCCACCCTTTCACAACGATATCGCTATAATCCTTCTTGACAGACCAGTGGAGTTAAATGGTACGTGGTATTTTATTAACTAGGCGAACTTCGTGACGCCTTAATATGACTATTTTAGTAGCTACATACCAACAAATGGACCATTTTGCTGACCATAGACTGGTCGTTTTTACCGAATTAAAACTGGTTTTTAGGTTTCTCCTTGCATTATTCCTTTTTTTTTCAAAAAAGCCTCAGTGTTCGAGGAATAAATTTAAAAAAAGATACTCTAATTGGTCCAGCCGTCTTCGAGTTTTGCGCTTACCAACATATTTTGTGATTCATTTTTATTTATTTAAAATTTTATGATTATCTGCTGAGATTTAGGCCGCCAATAATACCCATAATCCAGTTAAACTTGTACTAGTAGACGAATGGCACATGATTTCTTAAACGTCCTAAAACATGTCGCATTCCTAACGACAAAGCAAACGTTGATTGAATAGCAAAAATGTATTCGGGGTTCGAATCCGCGGCCAAAAGATTGAAAAATTCACCGCGCTACCACTTGAGTTATTAAAACTTTCTATTCTATTTAGGCTGGACAAAGAAAAAATAAGGTAAAACACATTGTTACTTCAATGGGGCTGTAAGACCATTAAAATATAATTTTTAAACTCTTTTCTTAATTAGAAGACTTATTTCAACGATACTTATTAATTATTAATTAATTATAACAAAATCCCATAAAAGCTACACTAACAGCTCCAGAAGGCGATTAAAATTGACGCAATTATTTTATCACTTTCTCTGGAAAGTTTATTGATATGCTAACCTCCTTAAGTTATTGTTTTAAAGATAAATTTAATTTACGTAAACAGTTTTCTCCGTTAATGAATCCCATATTTGTGTCCTTGTATCGCGAAAGTTTCCACAATATCTAACAAACAATTCAAGGAAAGTTATTAGTTACTTTGTTTCCCAATAGTCGTAAATGATACGATAAGTAATTCTACAAACAGCTCATTTTCTATAGTTTTTTTTTAAAAGACAATTCACACCAATTGACCTAGTCCCATGCTAAGCTGGTGAAGCTTGTGTTATGGGTACTAGGCAACGGATATACATACATATTATAGATAGATAGACATATAAATACATATTTAAATACCCAAGACCTAAGCACAACACCAAATGCTCATCACATCGATGTTCGTCTCAGCCGGGGATCGAACCCGGGACCCATGGATTCGCAGTCAGGGGTACTAACCACTAGACCAATGAGTCGTCAAATAGTAAAAGCTACAACTAGACTATTTAAATATAGAAGCCCGTAAGCCTATAGATAAAATGTTATTTACCAATGGAACAAATATCTTAATCTAGTAGTTCAATAAAATTGTATTATAAACAAAAACTAGATGAGTGCAGTTTTAATAAAAAACTCTTGTTTTGGCTAATGCTCACTAATAAATAAATTTAATTTTTCTTTAACTCCTTTTTACTTTTATATATTTAACTTTAAATTAAATAAAACAATTTAGTTTTCATAATTAACATAATTTATTAATTATCATAATTATATATTTAATTGTCATAAAAACGTGTATTAAAGAAATATTTTAATATAGTGCTTAGAATATGAGTGATAAAAAATACACTTTTTTTAGATTATGTGACTCCAATATGTCTGCCGAAAGACGAGGAGTTGGCTGACTTAAAAATTGGCGAGATATTAACAGTAGCAGGATGGGGTAAAATGAACATGACGACAGAGGAACGCGCTAAAATTTTACAATTTGTTTCGGTAAGAGCAGTTTTACCTAGATAGGCAACACGGCTTATTGCACTTGCTCATACGGTACTGGAAATTTTTTGGACTTTATAATAAGGCTGTTCGCCTTACCTATAAAGCAAAAATATCAAAATAATCAAATTTGTCAGTTAAAGCCTGTCAAAAATGATAGTTTTATATATCTTATCGATGAAATTTATCTCTAGATACCAATAGTAAAACCAGAAACTTGTGAGACTTTTGGTAAAGGCTTCAAACTGTCAAGGTCAGAAATATGTGCAGGCGCACAATTAAATAAGGATGCCTGTGGTGGCGACTCAGGAGGTCCACTAATGAAGGTAGGTCTAATTTCAATTTACGTTACAGCCTTGCTTAAAGACAATAATTAAATTTAAGGCGACTTTTGTTTCACCTATGAAAAATCAGTCAATCAAATGTGTCCAAAGAGGTTACAATTCCGACTTTATTTTAAAGTAGGTCGCATAGGACTAATAGAGAATGGTTACAGCTTCTTCCAATATTGTAAAACAAAAACTTTACTATTGAAAATAATGGCGAAGAGTTCTCTTCGTCCGTCCTACGCCCTTGATTTTAGAACTTCTAATAAATTGTAATCTCTCAAAAATATAGAATCATATTTTTTTCATTATTGACGTTCATTACCTAGAAAAATACAATAGATATATTTTTATATTTCACAAAAACACAACCGGCATTTATTAATTGCTATTAGTTAAAACCCCAACATTTCTCCAAGAAGTTCGTCGTTAATCTAAAACGAAGAATTTTTCCAGGTATTTGACACACTGGAAGGACCCAAGAATTTTCTTATGGGTGTCGTGTCATTTGGGCCTACTATATGCGGTATAAGAAAACCTGGAGTGTATGCTTCTGTACCCCAATTTATAAAATGGATTTTGGATAATATTGAAATGTTATAGCTTTATTTTAATCTTTTTAATTTATCACAGTTGCATCTTATACCTCTATCGCCGGCATCAATTTAAAAATAGAAATAAATTGAATTGAAATTATAATAGAAAGAATGGAATATATGTTATCTTTTTCTACACATATTACGAACACTTATAGAGGACATAGCCAGAATCACAAATAATATATATGACTTTTCTTGGTAAGAATTAAAGTTAATAAAAACGTTTCTGTGATAAAGTAGGTGATAATGCCTTGAAAATTTATAATAAAATTATACGATTTTAAATGCCATTTTATTTATTCTAACGACCTAAAATCTACTAAATGTTTATAAAAAGCTAAACACGGATATTATAACGTACTATTCTGAATGTTTAAGTCATAGGAATATTAATAAATATAAATAGCTTATCTTTTATAACAAACATTTTCCTCTAAGATTTTCAATACGTCACAGTTAAAGTCCCGTAGGTTTTGACTAAGTTGCACATCACTTTTAAACAAATGACGTACGTATATTTAGGTCTTATGCCAAAGCACAGAGCACTCATGCGTTAGTATGTCTCTGGGACAAGGAGGAAACGGTGTGTAATTTTGTTAAATTTAAATGTAAACATTATAATATTAAAAATAATACCGAAAACGTTGATAAAAATGTACAAAGTGTGTTCGCTTTGGATTTTATTACTAACCTTGTCAACTTGTTTAAGTGGTAAGTGCTTAATTAGTATTATTATTGTGCGCGTACATTGGTTTTTCCATCTCTTGCAAAACAAACTGATTCATGAGAATCTGCAATGTTTTATAATACAGCCTTATATTCGTGTATACAGCAGAAACAAACACACGAAATATGACTTTTTAAAGTCACAAAGTCAAACTTTTTGATATCAAAACATTGCATAATTGATAATGTTACATACTGTAGAGTTTTATATGTTTGTGTTTATTATTCATTGATACTTTTTAGGTTACATATTTTAAGGTGACCAACTATACTCATTTACTGAGTTTTGTACTCGTTTTTCACTAGCCGTACTCTTTTCAAATCCGTACTCTGAAAGTACTCATTTGTATTTCTGAAACATTTTTTCGATTATTTTAGTTGTCCACTAATGCTGCAGTTGAAAGGGTATTTTACTAGGGATTGATTATTGGAGCAGTGAGAAGTCGCAACTTTCTGTAAAAACATTATCTGCCGTCAAATTTAATATGCAAAATGAAAGTTGTTCGGATGTGGCTACATTAAAAGACGAACGTTCTCATTTAGCGAAAAAAATCCACTCCGAAGAAAAATATTTTTTATAGTTATCGTTTTTAAAAGAAAATAAAGTTTTTATAGTTTTTCCTTCTTTTTTTTTCACATTTGAAATACTCTAATTTGGAGTACAGTTTTTGAACAAAAAATAGTTGGTTTACCTTACATATTTGCAGTAGACTTAATTATGTTTAGAAAAGATATAGGTTAGGTTGTAAGAGGTCATCCACTTCTCTTGTATTATCAAAATAGGGCGATAGTTGCGACTTGTCTTCAAGGCAAACTGGATATATTTGTAGATGAAACAGCAGACTTGATCAATTCATATTTTTTACCATCAAGTTTATTTTTGGCGATACCTAGACTAGGTATACTCAAATAATGAAAGATCCAAAATAATGTTTGGATGAATGGAACTTCCTAAAATTCAACCCAACAAATAAACTGCAAGTTTATAATATTAAAACATGTATGTTTATAAGTTTTTTTAAATAGGAACAACAGTTAAAACGATTTTTTTGAAGAAGAGCAGTAGCTCCAGCGTGCAACTTCATCCCAGAGGTCGTAGGTTCGAACCCCAACTGTGCACCGATGGTCTTTATACGTGCGCATTTAATCGTACACCGCACTCGTACGGTAAAGGAAAAACATCGTAAGAAAACCGGTACGCCTTAGACCAAAACTAAATCTTTAAACTGGCCAAATTAAATTAAAATAAAATATTAAACCAAACAATTTTAGTTAAATTTTATTATATTAAGAATAACACGTACGAACAATCGAAAGTGTATCAATAGAGTATATAATACGAAAGTACCACTGCTAAATTCCTAGTGTTCCTCTGCGATAGTCCTCATTTTCAATGCTAGGCATCTGTTCTATGTGCAGTTTCAAATTTATCGTGTTATCATTTCAGAAGATTACCATCTCCTGGATACGCCATGTCAGCGAAAGAATTTAAAGGGGCGTTGCATTCTTTTGAATTCTTGTAAATTTGCACTAAATTTAATGAAGGAACATAACGACACACTAGCTGAGACTTTATTATCGTGTGGACGTTTGAATATTGTGCCCCTGGTATGTAAAACACAAAAGCTATATTTGTTAACAGTATTTAACTAAGACACTGATGTTAAAAGACAGAAGCAGTGTGGCCCAGTTAGCGAGTTCAGCGTGCGACTCTCAACTCTGCGGTTTGAAACCCGGCTGTGCACTATAATACACGTAATAATAAAAATATGAAAAAAAAATTTCTAATGATCACAAAACAGATACACAAATCTGAGTTTAGGGTATTTAGGAGTGTCAAGTTATCATAAATATGGGAGATATACACTTATAGACTTTTTAATTTAATATAAATGGAGGACTAATGATATATCATAAACTTACTTTGCTTATTGCCTTTATAACGCTCGTTTAATTTAAATATAAAGCTGATGAAACATTATGTACCTATTTCATCATACACCGTAAAAATCCATCCGCCGTATGGCTGTTGTTTTGTAGCCTATTTTATTTTTAATTACTTCAGGTATGCTGTCCGATTGAGAAAACGCCAGAGACAGACGAATCAGTAATTCATTTTCAACAAGAAGAAATCACAACATTTCCACCTCCTAGAAGTACAACCAGAACACCTACAAGACCTCCGGTTATCCCAACCTCTACAATTTTACCATCTAGACATGTTTGTGGCAAACAAGCGATTGAAGACAGAATAGTGGGTGGCGAAATTGCATCACTGTATGATTTTCCTTGGATTGTTCGGCTTTATTTTAGTGAGAGTAAGTATCTACAAGCCACTACGTCTATACGAGTCCTAGGGTGGAATTAAAAATCCAATAAATTTTTGACACATGGGAGTCAAACTTAGCTTAGTCTCGTTTCTGAATCTTACCCCTAATCGCGTAAACTTAGAGATTCTGGATGTTTATTAATTACACTATACACATAATACATCGTTATATTAAAATCAGCTGTGCTGGATTATAGACTTTTTATAACGATATGACGTCGATTTTAGTTTCTTAGACGAGTACGTTTCTTTTTGAGTATTACTATATATAGTATTACTATATATAGTATTAGTATACAGGTATTGCATGACTAAATTAATACAGCCGACTGATCAATTCCTACAATTAAAAAAAAGATAATATTCTCATAGATATATCACAGAATATTTTATCCATACGGCAATTATATGTTATGGTCATTATATGTTTATACTGCAAATACAAGATTTTCACGTTTTAACCTTTTGAGTTAATGACTTTTTTATTGTAGATGGTTATGCTTGTTCTGGGACATTAATAACAAATCGGCATGTTATAACTGCAGCACATTGCTTTACTACTCCAAGTAAACTGTAAGTATAATATTATCATATCACTTTATCAAAAAGAAATAAAAACATCAATTAAATGTAATTTAAATCCCGGTTTATTTCCGTCAAAGATGTAAATTTAAAAAAAAACATATTTGACCCATTTTCTCTCTCTCTCTCTCGTCTAAAGAACAAACACCTAAATGTACTGAACTTTTTCTTATAGTTTATCAGTTCGTCTTGGGGAATGGGATTCAACGATATCAGCCGACTGCAGTGACAATAGATGTAGCGATCCGCCTGAAGATAGAAAAGTATTACAAACAATAATACATCCTTACTTTAATCCACACAGCGATCCTACACATGATATAGCTATTGTGGTTTTGGATGAACCTGTTAACTTTACTGGTGAGTATTATTATTGGCTATTGCTTCCGACTGCCTTTAGAATAACGATGAAACAATCATTTTAGAGCTTAATAACAACCCATGAAAAAGTATAACTTTAATGCCTTCGTTCCTATAAGAATTTCAGAATTAATTGATTTAATATCACCAGCATTCGGCGAAATTTATCTTTTACCAATGTAAACAAATTTTAGAAAAGGACATTTAAAAAACACTATAAGTTGTATTAAATACCTATGTTATTTCCACCTCAGTACAACTATATTAAGCCCTATAATATTCCCTACATATCTTTGGACATCCCAGACCATGTTGAATGCTACTGTAATTAATTGTTTCGACTTTGGCTCCATTTTCTCGTTATTATAATTAATATTATTTTCACAGACTTTATTAAACCCGCGTGCCTACCAACCACTGAATATGTAGCAAGCCAAGATTATACTAATGATAATTCTTACATGACAGCTGGATGGGGAATTACAGAGTATGGTAAGCGTCTTACTCTAATATCTATTTCCTTTCTACATTTGCTACGAAATTTCCATGCGCAAACTTTCATCCAAAATGTTGACAAGTTAACGAGAGAAAACCGAAAAAATATTATGAGATAAACACTAATATAAGCAAAATATATATATATATATAATAAATAATAATAAAAATATTATAAAAGACTCAATAGCACTTTATGTAAAAGTAGAGAAAGTTTCATTTAAGTGAGAAAATATGCAAAGTATGCACCAGATTTTTAACACATAAATTTTTTACACATTTTGCGGGATATCGGATTCTTACTACTTAAATGTGAAAGTAAATTCACACTTACTCCCAAATAAACTCTTTCAGGTAGGATCTCAACGAAAAAACGCAAGCTGTCCATAAACGCTGTATCTTACGACATATGTCGTGCGGCATTAAATTTGGATCGTGATTCGAGAGATCCTTTTGTAATCTGTGCTGGAGGAGTTAAAAACAAGGACAGCTGTCAAGGGGACTCTGGTGGGCCTCTTATCGGACAAGTAGTTGAAGATCATGAAGTAAACTGGTACTTATTTGGAATAACAAGTACGGGTTCGAAGTTTTGCGGCCGTCCAGGTATTCCTGGTGTCTATACAAGGATATCGAAATATATGCCTTGGATCGAAAACCATTTATCGAGATAATTGAAATATTTATTGTGATAATATATATTAATAGATTTAGTTTATGTTGTTTCTGTTATGTTATTCTCTTTGGTAGATGCTGAAAACTTACCAAGAAGTCTTAGATATTTGATACCAATAACTATCAACTGATACTCCTGTTAGTGTTATAGGAAAATATATATAATAGAAGTGAGGCCATTGATGTTGTGTATGTACAATATTTAATTAGAAATCACATGTGAAATACATACATAATATTTGACAAAGTCTATGACACACATTTTCTGATATGATTGCCTTGAGTACATTTTATACTCGATCAGAGCCCTCAAAAACTTTATTATCAATTTTCTCTAAATACTTCATAAGATTATCTTCAATATCGGACGATCTGCAAGAGCTCTTCTTTCGTAGATTTTTCTTTTTTGGACTCTTCCTTGGAGACAGCTGGGTGAAATCAATTGGTGTATTCGGAGGTCGGGGGGCATAATACCTCTCAAAAAGCATGGGCTGTTGCCGGACTCGACCATACATTAATTCCATTTCATGCAGAAACTCCTCCCTTCGAAGACGCTCTTCATCTCTTCGAGTTTGCAATCTTATTGCTATGTCCTCTTCGTGGCTGTAAAAGGTGGGGTTGATATTACAAAATAGGAAAAGAAAGAGTATTCGTGTCAAAAAAAAATAACGAAATAACGTCTCCATGGCATCGTGTTTTGCGGGTTTAGTGGGTGTACAAACGACAGGAATAGCTATTGTATTTTTTTAAGCAGCAGTCAATTGATTTGATCATAACATTTGATATTTATAAGACAACTAGCAGACCGGCCAAGCGTTGCTGTGGCTAAGGTTTTTGTTATATTACATAGTAGCAAACTATTCAAGGGAACCGGTAGGAGAACACCAGTCATGGGGACCACCATGCTTTTTTGGTGGTTATGCCATTAAATTGTAGCTTATGTGAAACGTTGGTACTTTCAACACAGCGCCATCTGTTAGAATTGTGACTATCAAATAATAAATAAACATTTTGCAATAAAATAATATTGCGGGTATAAATTAAGATGTAAGGTATCCTATCTTTTAAGTTAGATCAAACTGCACACGTTGTGCAAATTTGATTGATATTGGTTCGGTAGTTTAGGAGTCCATAGCGGACAAACAACGTGACACGTAATTTATATATATTAGATTAATAACGCTTAATTTGGTTCTTGTGTACTATTAAAAAATGAGTCAAACGATCAGATAAGCTAAGTGGTTCGTATAAAGTTTATTAAAACTTACTTATTTTTCACAAGATGCCAGGCTGGCTTAGTCCTCAACAACCGATCCCTGTATTTCGATTCATGTTTTCTTCGTTGTTCAGACATTCGTTGCGCAGCTTCTATATCAAATTTTCTCCGTACAGCCTCAGCTCGCAATAACGCTGCTAAATTAGATCTACCAACTGCTGCAGTATTCAAATCCAACGCTGAATATGCCTTTGCCGGCTCAGATACACACTGCTGACTTGTGCTGTCCGATTTGTCTCGATATATTCTTTCAATTTCCTTCATCTAAAATATTAATAGGAAATATTTTGCTTACCACAGTAGGCAGAAGTAGTCTTCTCGCAACAAATAAAGTCCTACGTGTTTAATTGGATTGTCAGGCGGGAAAAGCTAATCACCAGCTTTTAAAAGGAATAATTTGATGTAATTTTCTTACCTTTTTATCTGCCCTACTAGCTGTATTGAATCGAAATGGTTGTGGACTAGTTGTGATGAAGTTCTTTGTCAATTTTCGGCGTCCTTTTGTCGGACTTGCTGATCTTAGATCACCTGAAGATACTGAAGCAACACCCGGTCCTGGAGATGGATCTATGGGTAGATCACTATGGGCAGCTGGAGTAGACAATCTACTCCGTTCTCGCAGAGCCATACTGCTAGGAAAACTGGCATTGCGCAACATTTCTTCAGCTCTTATACGACGATTCATTGATCTTTAAATTATTGTTTATGGGTAAAGAATAGTATTAAAAATTTATTCTTATATATTCTATTCTATATGTTTTTGTTTTATTTTATATAGCAACATAATTATTAATATTTTGTTTTATTTATATACTAGCAGACTAAGGTTTCTGTTATATTACAAAGTAGTATAATTAAAAAAAAAAACTATTCAAGGGAAACGATAGGAGAGCGTCATTTTGTTTTCCTTTTAAATACGTCTACCTGACAACTTCAAAAAGGAGGGGAGAGGGGGTTTGGGGGGTTTTTTTTTTTTTTTTTTCCCCCCCCCCCCCCCCCCCCCCCCCCCTCCCCCCCCCCCTTATTTTTTTTCCAAAAAAAAAAAAAAAAAACATTTTTTTTTTTTTTTTTTTTAAAAAAATTTCAAAGCATTTTAGAATGTCTGTAATTTTATATTATGTTATTAAAAAAATTTGCCAGACATTAATGATAAAAGTTTAAATTTATAAAGAAGATATTATAGACTTAATCATATTTAATGGGGACCACCATGCTTTTTAGTGGTTATGCCAAAATTAAAATAGCAAATTCCCCCCCACCCCCTCCCCCATCTTACTACAAAACAAAAAAAAAAAAAAAAAAAAGAAAAAAAAAATTATTTTAAAAAAAAAAAAAAAAAAAAAAAAAAAAAAAAAAAAAAAATAAAAAAAAAAAAAAAAAAAAAAAAAAAAAAAAAAAAAAAAAAAAAACGAAGGGGGAAAAAAACCCCCCGACAAAATTGTAGCTTATGTGAAACGTTGGTACTTTCAACACAGCGCCATCTGTTAGAATTGTGACTCAAATAATAAACAAATAATTTGCAATAAATTAATATTGCGGGTATAAATTAAGATGTAAGGTATCCTATCTTTTAAGTTGGATCAAACTACACACGGTGTGCAAATTTGATTGATATTGGTTCGGTAGTTAAGGAGTCCATAGCGGACAAACAATGTGACACGTAATTTATATATATTAAGATAAGATAGATAACGTTTATTTAAGAATACCAACTCTAGCTTCTTAATTGTAATTAATGTTTTGTCCTTATTAATCCCGTTGTACTTTGTAAGTAATGATAAAAGTAGATACATGCGAACAAAAACAACTTCGAAATTAAAACATCTTTCTGTGTAAGTTGATTTTTCGGTTACGATCAAGACAACAACAAACCTTACATGTCAAATACAATGTCTTACCGAAAAAAATTATCCTCTTTAATTTTATCATAAAAATAATTGGAGAATAAGTTCTTTGGTACTGGTCGGGCCCTGAATTTCTTTTTCTTTTTGCATTTTGGCATAGCCTGAACCGCCCTGTCACAGACACCGCTTCCATTTTCTTCCCTTTTTGTAAAACTGAAAGGTTTCATTTGGGCCCTCAGCTCCGCTTCGCTGTTAATTTTAGTTATCGCTCGTCTGAAAGTTTTTACCCAGAAAGGTTTTAACTGCTTGGACGTATGCTTTAACGGATATAAAAGCAAATTTATTACATTATTATGTATTTAAGCTTTTTTTATAAACTTAATATTTCCAATTCTTTAGAAAAAATGGTGTAAGTGTCGCCATCTAGTAATACTAAAGGTAACATTGTATTTCCTTATGATCTGTGCAATTGTTAATTGTACCTTTTTGGTCATCGTTTGTAACGATGTAGTGCACATATAATTAAAATAAACTAAAGCTAGTAATTATTTCTTTTAAAAACGTTTAGAACCCATTCCAACGTTTATATATTTTATTCATTGGGGTCTTTGGGGTCTATTTACATGGGCTAGTTTTATTTCAATAAAATTATCATTATGTGCTAAACACGTGTAAGATGTTAATATTATAAATGTGAGTTAATAGAAAACAATCAACAAGCTATGGTGTCGGTGCGATTAACTTATATTTTAAAGCAAAATAATGTGGTGAATAAAACATATTGGAAATAAATTATAAGCGCAAAATATACCTAAAATCCAAATAAAACGTGTGTCGTAGGACGAAAAAATAACCTCATAGCTTGGTCTTCTAAAATCTTATCATATAATGGTATCCGGGACTCGATGGGTACCGGACGTGCCTTAAACTGTTTTTTCTCTAACTTCCGGTTCAACATGTCTTCCGAAAATGATTTTTGTAAGCTTCGAAGTTCATTCACAATCCGTTCCTCTTCATCCCTGATGTTTATAAATAACATATTAAAGGTTAGTTAGCAGATAGTAAAAATATTGAGTGTTTGTTTTGTTAAGTTTTTAGAAAATGCTTACTACATACGTGGGTAACACTGAAAATGTTTAGAACTGGCCAGTTAGAAACTTTGCCAATGAAAACTTTTTTTTAATTTCAATCTTAGAACTCTTTGGTAACCTAATGTAGTATATTGCATTCATTTGTCATTTGTTTTTGTGAATTGGCGGCAAATCTAAAACTCTTGTTACACGTGAAAATGAACCTAACGTGATAAAATTTTCGGTCAATGATTTATTATGACTTTCGTTGTTGGCTTACTCAACAACAAAGCTATGATAGGCTGCGATTAGCATTTCTTAATGAAGCCACATCTCGTGCCAGTATTTGCAATTGGTTTAACGAGTTTAAGCGTGGACGTAGTCAATCTCAATGATGATCCGCGTGAGGGACGTCCTTTAACAGCGACTACTGAAGATAACATCAGTGATATGCGACGCATGATAGAGGAAGATAAGAGAGTGACCTATCAGCAGATACGGGCAAGCCTTAGTATTGGTATGAGTCAAATTCAAAAAATATTACACGAACATTTAGGCGTCAGGAAGTTTTGTACCAGATGGATTCCCCATACTTTAACCGACGACCAGAAACACCTTCGCATGGACTGGTGTCGCTAAATGTTAGATAAGTTCTCAGTGGTTACTTAGAAGCCGTTTTTCATTTTCTAAACATTTTCACTGTTACCTAGGTTAATGAATAGCTTTTTTGTAGTTCAAAATACATACCTTTCAGTCATTTTAAATGGCTTAGGTATGGTTACGTTTCGGTGTTTGCTTCCGGATCCGGCACGTTTTGATCTCAATGGACTGGATGGCATGCTCTGCGTTTTAAATTCGTCGTCAATTAATGCATTCGTATCTTCCGTATCAAAAAATTTATCAAATTTTTCATCAACTTCACTCTTGTTCTCGATTTTATCGTCGTGCCATGAAATTGAGCAAGCTGATTGATTTCTTTTAGGACGATATTTTTTGTTACTCCCTTTTAATATCAAATCATTTTTTGATGGGCCATCATCCCTTTTAACTTCAATAGTATAAGAATTGACATTAGTTTTTCTCGCTTGGTGTTTTACGGAACCTCCGCCTGTATTTTCAACACTGACACGGCGATTCGCAACTGGATTTTTCTTTAATGGAATATCACATTTTGTTGATTTTATTGTGGTACAGTCAGCAACCATAGTTCCATAAACTTTATCGTAGTCAATGTTCTCTATAGCAATACCCAACATAATTTTTTTCTTTTCTCGCAACGATTTAAGTGTGGAATAAAACTCATTGGCCGGTAAATGATTAATATCATTGTAATCCGGTATACTATGGTAAAATTCTTTTAATTTCTTAGTATCAATATTATCGCCAGACATAGAAATGGTAGTCGATGAATCAATAGATTGCTCATTCAGAGCTTTGTCGTTTCGTTCGTAAGCAGTTTTTGGCATTTTACTCCAAGGGTCGACAGGAACTCGAACACATGAGTTTTTAAAAACACTACATCGGTGCATCACTAAACATTTTTTAATTATAAAAAGGTCAACGTTTGTTTTCTGCAAACTGTTTCTATAGAAACGGAGTATCGATAGTTGATGAACTGCGCAATAAAAAGGAAAGTATACGCAGAGATTTAAAAAAAATATATATGAGGAATTTGCTCAAACCAAAAATTATTATTATATTTTCCATGTCTTGGCTACACAAAAAAGCTGCATCGTTTTAATGGCATAAGCTTAGAGGCCTATACTTACTTTTGATTGTAATAATCTGCTTTCGACAGAGACATAAAAATGCTACAGAGTGTTTTTGTATCCCTATATAAGTAAGATAACCCATCATTCTGAAAGCATGAATTAACTTTTAGGATTCTTATGTATTTTATATCTTCTTAGGTAAGAAATATTCAATTCATGGATTTTGACGATCATTTATAATCATTTGATCAATTACAAAATTCACTGTTGACAAATCAATATACAAAATTTTAAGTTTAAAAGGATCACCAACTAAAAACAATGGTTTTTTTTTTAATGGCTTTTATTTGTGCCAACTGGAAAAACAATGGTTGTAGTTTATCTTATATTATTGAAACTTGACAATTACATGAAGCGTAGTTATCTCTATGGTATACTAAGTACTAATAAGTAATCTGTACTATAAATAATTAAATGTGTCAGACGTCAACACACAGCTGACTTAATTTGGCAGGATAATTAAAAAAAATGTTGTGCAAATAGAAAATTGCAAACATTCTATGATTCTTCTATTTTCTACTAACAAAATTCGATATCCAAAGAAATATTGAACATTGTTACAGATTATTGAAATAATTTTTGGAATGATAATATAACCAAGATCTAAAGATGTTGGTAAATATAATTATGAAGCAAAATTGCCTATTAATAGCACATTTTAAAAATAATATTAAACTATTAAGCTCAGCAAGGAGGCTTAGTACCAAAAATGATGAAAAATTTAAGGGCAAGTACGACGTAATAATCGCCGGAGGTGGAATGGTGGGCTGTACACTCGCTTGTGCCATGGGTAAATTTATGTATGATATTATACTTTAAGGAGAGAGTATGTAGGTATTACATCTGCTTAACTGTCTATTTTATTAAAATAAATAGATCTTTCAACCAAATACAGTTTTTATTTAATTTTAAATACAAATTTTTATGCATTTGTCTGTCTACAAAATGGTTTTCTACACAATCTTTTTTAACTATATATTGTATGATTTACAGGTAAAAATGCTCTGTTATCCAATTTAAAGATTCTATTACTCGAAGGAAGTCCTAACAAGAAATATGAATTAACTCCTCATTATAGTAATAGAGTTGTGGCATTAAATCAGAACACAAAGTCTTTAATGAATTCAATTAATGTATGGGAACATGTTGAGGCTCTGCGACTTCAACCTGTGAGACATATGCAAGTAAGTTCATATACAATTTATTTGATCTCAAATATCTGGATATAGTTCATTAGGTATTAAAACATGGAAGCAAGTAATTTAAATAAAATGAATATATTTCTAATCAATTACTTATTTAATTTTTTTTAAATATATTTTACAGTTAAATAAAAATGTATTCTATTGTATAATATTTACTTAATTACCAGGTAAGTATTGTTTCTTTAAATAAATTATGATACATAATTTACAAGGTATATCTTGCTAGCAGCTGTAGAAAAAATTTACTCTTAATTGTGTTGTGTAACTGTGTATAGAAAACATCAGTTGCATTATGTTGTTACTAAATTTTTAGGTATGGGATGCATGTTCTGATGCAATGATCACCTTTAGTAGTACAGACATACTTGATGATGATGTAGCATATATAGTCGAAAATGATGTACTGTTACATGCCGTGAGCAAAGAATTAAGCAAATCCAAAAATATAGAAACAGTGTACCAGGCGAAAATAGCAAGTTATCAATTATCACAATCTCAGTTATCACATGAGAATATTGTGAAGATGAGCAATGGTGATACATACTCTTGTGATTTATTGGTAAGTGAATTTAAATTCATAGCTTAAAACTTTTTTTAAAAACATATAGGATTCAAACTGTTATCGGTGTAGATAAAAATAAGAATGGAAAAATTATTTATACTAAAATGTAGTAAAACTAAAGACCAGTATGTGCCTATATGATATACTTTTTACATTTCTACTCTTAGTTCTAAGACTTCCTTTATTTAAATTAAACAATTTAATAAATAGTGAATTTATTTGTATCAATAAATTTACTAAGAAATGAAGTATGCCTGATTCTTATGGAGGTTGCTTTTCTTTTAATTTATTTTCAATTAAAGTTAACCGGCCATCTGTTATATCTATCAGTTTGTTTAATTTTTTCGTTACATCAACTAACTGGTTCTTCACATCAACAATACACAGTTCTTGTATTGCATTCAAATTAAACGACATAGGCCTATTTCTATTTGATTCAGAAGTGGTCCGTTTTCGTCTTTCCACATTTTGGCTGTCAAGAGAAAATCTGTCATATAAATAACTTTTTCGCTTCACTAGTTGTCTTTCAATGTCCTCGCCGTCACACTTTCGTATGCGGAATTCGTAATTATTATTTTTACGGACACTTTTCTTGGTGTCTTTACGGCTGGCAACCATTTTGTAGACGGATGCTATCAAGTCTTTTGGTATCTGCAATGTTGCAATGACATGTTAGAGGCTTGGATTTAATACAATTCTAGACAACGGGTTATGACGATAATCGGATATGTAACGTAACAGAAGTGTATGTAATATTTTACAATAAATTAATACTATTTATAAAAACCTAAAAATTTATTGGCACTAGTGTTCATATGGGGTTGTCTCTTTCTTTGTTTCTTTTCTCGTTATTTATTTATTTTAAGGTTCAAAGAGTTACACCAGCAAATTAACAAATAGAAAACCTTCGTGGTGGATGATACTTACTCTACTTTCCCTAGGATCGTTGGGCCTTATATTCAGTGTACGCATATGAGAAGCCGTTAGCAACGCTCCCCAGCGTAACACAGCGAGCAATTGTTTTGGTGCACACATCAACATCGAACTAAACAACATGCTTTCTAGATGCGCTACTAATTGCGTTTGACGTACAAGTCTGTCTAGTCCGGCACTTTCCTGAAGAGCCTGAAAGTCGTGAATCAAATTTCAGTTATGGTACACATCTGATACAAATTATACCTACGAAAGCAAACAGTTTAGGCTGTGCCTATCGCGGTAAAGAAATAGTCGCGTATTAATAGCAGATAATTTAATAAATGAAACCTGGATCTTAAAACTTGCTAATTTTTGTGCCGGAAATTATGTTAAATGTCCATAAGGTATTTTTGAAGGGAAACTTAACTTAAGCGCATGCGTTACGGATGAATCGCAATAATAATAAAATTAGCGTCACGAAGATGGGCAGCGTTTTTGTCGAAGAAAAGGGACAGAGCGATTGAGACCGATTGAGACTGATTGAGACAGAGTGAGAAAGGGCGAACGTAGCATGAAGCAAATAGCTATGGCGCGAGAGTAGGGAGCAAGCAAGTTAGAAAGATCGAGAGACAGAGTCAGATAGAGCGAACGTCGCACCATGCACAGTGTCATGGAGCGAGAGGTGGGGAGAGCTATAGTGAGAAAGATTGAGAGAGAGTTTAAAACTTTTAACGTTAACTTAGTTAGTTTTAGATTGTATAAATTAAGTTAGATTTGTACAAACATGAACAAGACTTAAAAATTAGTTTGCCAAAGAAGTTTTACTTCTGCTTGATAAGAATAAAACATATTCTTCGTCATTCATTTCAACATACGATTGAAAAGTACGATTCGTACTCACCTGAATGTCACTAACAGCCAAGCCTACGAGCAAATTGGTCAATATAACCGTAACGAGTACGACAAATATCAGGAACATGGCATGTGCAGTGATCGGGTACTGCAACTGTGACCCAGAACATTCGCTGTAAAATATATCCTCATACTCCAATTCACCACTCATCATCATAACAGTTTTGACCAACGCTGCTGGTAGGTGGAATGGCGGATAGTTACTGAAGAGAACACTGAATGCCAGACCGAATGCAATCAAGAGACAGCTGTACGCCATCAGAAATGTTGCGAAATTGACTGTCACTGAAAGAATCAAATTGAAAATGATTACAAATATTTGATAATTAATTCATACAGTTGATTGAAGTCTCCGCGCAATTTATCTCCCTAATTGATCTGAGAGAGAAATCTTTTTGGATATTTAAAACCGTGTCCGTAATTGTGTACCCAACAATTTAAATTAAACTAAACCGAACAAAAATATATTATATATTACATTGATTCAAGGATTAATATGAGGAATCTCTCATCAATTATATTGTATGTGTCTACATAGATGTTAATATAACACATAGAAAATATATGCTGTGGCCATGACTCACGGTTTGTGCACTTGAGATTTACAAACTCTGTGATGTATTCGCTATATATCATACAAAATAGTCATTACCCGTTGTAAACATTTGAACGTATAGACCAAATGTTGGAAAACGTCCAACAATCATCATTAGTTCAAACCAGCAACAAAATATTGTTATGGCTGCAACATCGTGTTGCCACGTTGAGGTGTTTCTTCTCGCTTCGCCATTATCTATGTACCATGTCGGGACCTAAAATATATATTTTAATACATATCTAACTTGATCAAATCCAACCAAAATGAAAAGCTCATCTTCTAGCTAAAATCATTACTAGCTATAAATATGAAAATGTGATCACGAAAAAAACTTACTGTGCATAAGAATACACCAATAATAATGATAATTTGCAACCAGTTTTCCCACTGTCTGATGTATGCGGACCAATCGAGACAAGATTGGAAGATTTCCTTCAGCATAAAGAATATGTTAAGTAAAAGGATCACATATTGGATCGGCCGAAGATAATTCGGTATATTGCATGTCGTATCTTCGCAGAGGAACATTTCTGGAAATCAATAAAATGTGAGACCTATTACAAGTATTAAATCGTTGTTATCCCCTATCTACTGTATAATTTCCTTGAATAAAGTTATTTGTCAATATTTTTCGATATCAAAGCAATTATCCAAAGTTCATTTAGCACAATATTTTAGATAAAATGTGTACTTGGAGAGAACAATTGTTGCATAGAAAACATATTTTCAACATGAATAAAAGTTATACTCACGTAATATATAAAGACTGTACAACGTAATAAACAAAGCGTGGTAAACGAAACTTAGAACAAAGAATTTTCTTATTCTCCTCCATTTTAAGAAGAGGAAGGTCTCTGCGACTGGATGTTTTAAAACATCTTTCCTTCCCACCTGAAATTAAATTAATCTTATTTATATTCAAAGCTCCGATAGTCAGAATATCTACAATACAAAGACAAAGAATTTTTACATCGATGAATGCTAACAGCAATTCCGCTTCGCCTCGTGACAGACATGGTACTAAAGGCCGAAAGTCTATGGTCAGCTCACAATCAACATCTCCCAGCTCATGTTCACTGATGTGTACTGCGTCGTCTAACTTGCAAAGGTAGCGTGGTAACACATCCGGGACACGGCGTACGATGAATGATAGAGCTGAAACTCCTCCATTAGTACGGAGGGTGACGTCACCGCCGTAGTCTACAAAATAAAAAAAGGTTATATATATGTATATATTAATAATTTAATATGATACCGAAAAAACAGATTTCGTATCAATAACTTGTCTTGCGAGATCTATGGACTAACGTTAAATACAAATATTAAAATACTTCACCCAGTAATAATAGCACACAAGCAGAAAACTCATTAAGCGCAGCGATATGCAATGGTGTATATCCAAAGTGGTCCGCAACATTAGGATCGGCACCGACGGACAGCAAAAGTCTAGCTACATCACATGCGCGTGCGCCGCGTACTATCGCTCCGTGCAATGGCGTCCTGCCGTCGACATCTTGAGCTTTCACGTCTGCTCTACGGTCCACTAATAGTTCTACTACTTCCACAGACTGTGCTAATGCCGCTGTAAGGAAAAAAAATAACAGCTCCTTTTTATTGACACAGATATCATATAGAGATATAGTGAAGGTAACAGAATAAATAACAATTTATCTTACCAAGATGGAGAGCGGTTTGTCCTCTAGAGTTCTGGCAGTCAATGTAAGCTCCATGATCCAGGAGTAACCGTGCACATTCAGCGTGGCCATCAACAGCTGCTAAATGCAATGCGGTTGCTCGACCTGGACCCAACGCTGCCCTCACATCTGCCCCGGATTCCAGAAGTAATTTGACACATGTCGCAGAACCAAGAGAGGCTGCTACGTGAAGAGGAGTTTCAGTGAAGACCTGTAAAATGAAATATTTTGAAACCAAAATGTGTTTTACGTATGAGTTTATGGTAAAGCTTAAATTCTAAATACATGTTATGAATTAAATGTAAACTGAAATGACACCAAAGTAAACATAATAGAAGAAAATCAAAGAGAACAGAAATTGTCAGACTCGAAATAAACTTCATTTTCATTTTAAACTGTAAAATCTCAGACAAATTAAAAAAATCTAAATGTATATGTTCTTCAGTGGCGTAGCTACCTAGGGAGCTAGGTGGGGCAGTGCCGGGGCCCTCAAGCTCAGGGGGCCCTCGAATCCTTACCAGAAATCTCGATCATTCTGAACTTTTGGAAATTTCTCCTATTTTCAAAATAAATGACAGATTGCAACCCCACTTTAATCATGACAACTCAGTTGGGAGAAATTCAAAAGATATGCCTAGGGAATTCCCCTAATTTTTTCTACGTTGGAGTGTTGTCAATTTTACGGATAGTGATATGTGGTTTTATTCATCGATGTGGTTTTATTGTGAATTGAGTTAAGATTTTTTTGAGAACGGTTAAAAAATTAATGCTTATGAGGAGTAAGATAATGTCAATAAGCTTTTTGTACTGGTCAATATAATGGTTCAATTTTATTTGATTTTACCACTCATATTGATGTCCGTTAAAGTCAATAAATCGTTCAAATCTAAAGATTTCGGCTACAGCTAATTGTATAAGTGAATTAGATAAAATTGAAAACAAAGCCGATAAGCTGGGTTTAAACGAAGTATTATACTTTTGGTTCTTTTATGTTTAATATTTTTATTACCTGCCCTGCAAAAAAAAGCTTAAGTAGTTAGATTTTTAAAGTATTTGTAAATTTCATATTTTGATCAGTTAAAGCAGGGGGCATTTTATGAGTTGGTAAGGGTATACACATATCTGTCTTATACCAAGCGTTGTTTGTTATGATACGCACCTGTGGAGTGTCAGCGCATGCGCCTGCGTCCAAAAGTGTGCTCACGACATCCGGTGCATCGCTTAATACAGCATAATGCAGTGGAGAATGCTCGCTCAAACCTGCATTCACGTCAGCTCCGTGATTTAAGAGGGCCTAAACATAATAATTATTATCCCATTGTTTATATAATTACTAACTGACCCGGCAAACGTCGTTTTGCCATGTATATTATTTCTAGAAAACATTTTTTAGGTCAATAAAAATAACTATCTACTATAATAAAAAATGGGTGTTTATCGTAGAGGGGTGACATTTAAAGGTTGTATATATTTTGTATGCTGTATCATAAAAAAATGGAAACAAAGTTTTGTCTAAAAAATAAAAATTTAGGGTGGGTCCACCCTTAGCATTTAGGGGGATGAAAAATTGGTGTTGTCCGATTCTCAGACTTACTGAATATGCATAAAAAATTTCATAACAATCGGTCGAGCTGTTTCGGAGGAGTATGGGAACGAATATTGTGACGGAGAGAATTTTATACATTAGAAGATTACTATGATTTTAGTAGTACCTTTACACAGTTCACCGACTTCGCACTAGCGGCGCAGTGCAACGGTGTTGCCTTTCTGTCTGTATTTGAGTCCCACATGTTGGGGTCTGCCCCATGCTCCAAAAGCTCATTCACGCATTCTTCGTTTGCTACTAAACAACTAAGGTGGAGACATGACCTGGAGAAAATGAGCTAATTTGATTGGACGAAGCAATAAATCACTGTATAAAAATATTAAAAGCGGTGTCTATAGATTTAATTAGATAGAGATATATATCAATTACAACTATATAATTCAAGTTGAAGTGTTTTATTCAATTGTAAAAAGACAAAAAGCTACAGCCTAAAAATCAACTGCTTTTTACACTACCTTCACGTTACCTTCACTTTATCGTGAGAACTTCGGAAATCGTAGTTCAGAAATTGAAACGTATGACTAAACTAAAGACAGAGTAGGTATTAGACTCCGTGCACACATTATTAATATTTTATTTGATTAGGAAAATATTTCATCCAACACATGGTTGCTTTGCCGAATGAAAGACGCAATGTTTGTGTATTGTAATGGGTTTATTTTTACCTGCTCCCTTTCCTAACTTGCTCTACTTTCTCGTTTTTATGGTTTCCAGATATCAATTAGATGTTTCCGGAGGATATGGTTGATCCATATAATTGTCTAAGATTTATTATAAATTATTTTCCATCGTATTTCGCGGTAGACTTTATTGAAAGATATTAGTGCTTTCTATAATTTTGTCAATATGAAGATTTATTGAGAATTGCATATTGCGTAACACAAATAATATTCGAACGTAGAGATTCAGAATTCGTATTATAATAAAACTTTATATATTTTGAATAACACAACACGTATGTTTTATAATGTTTTGATGAAGATGAATCTGAATGACTGAAGAATCCCTGCACATCACGAGGACTTGAAATTAGTTGTGTTTAATTCACATTTAGGATAACGGGCTTCTAGCTTATTAGTTATTACTTAATTTAAAAAAAACAAATTCCGACACAAAAATGATAGTACTAGTCTTATAAAATTATATTTATTTCATATAACCCAATTAGAAAACAATTAAACTAACTAACAACACTTGTTTTATGTAACTAAATTATTTGTGTATTAACACAAAATGTTTTTTCCATATTTGAATATAAATACTACCTGATAAAATCCTTGTAATACAGTGAAAAAATATAATTATTGTCACTTAAGCTTTGGCTTTGAATTGTACGTAATCCTTGTTTAGAAGACATAATTATTAATAATATGCGGTTGAAGGGATTTACGATGAACTTGATAGTTGCAACTGAAGAATAGAATATTAAAACTTACGTGGACCGTACCAAAATACGTCGCAAAAGGAAACGATTTGTGTGATTGTTTCTTGCCCGTTACGAAAACTTACCTTCCAGAATCATCTGTGCTGTTCGCATCTGCTCCTAACTTCAGCAGCTTGTGTAGCACTGAACTCTTTCCCATCCAAGACGCCCAAAGGGCAGCAGTCCTTATTCCTTCATGGTCTGCTTGTGCCGCTGAAGTTATCGTCTCCTCATATTGACCGTTTTCCAATAATGTCCCCATTTCTTCAGCGTACGGCAGCTTTTTGAGTGTACTTTGTATTTCTTCTGTTTAAAAAAAAGATAAAATATTGACAATTAAATTAATCGTTAAAGTAATCGTCGTTATTTTTGATTTTCTTCTGAAACTCATAGTTTAAAATATCTTAGTGTTTAAACTTTAAATTGTAAATATGTTTGTCTTCATCACTTAACTTGACTGGTAACAGCCTTGCGATTCTGTAACTCACTTTTCGAACTCTCACAGCGGTTTTCGAAGCGGCGGTCGCGCTCAAATCAGTCATAAAGCAGTCATTTTACGATTTGGCATTCTGATAAGGAGGGAGCTTGCAGTTTATTGTTTGCCACTGTGTGAGTTCGAAAAGTGAGTTACAGAATCGCAAGGCTGGTCCTTTAAATTACATCTGTAATAAATGTGAGATAAACTTCTTCAACCTTCAACTGCAACCTACACTTTTTATCAGACTTATTTTGGCATATATTCCTCTAGATCTAGTATCTTAGTAAAGCGACGCCGGTAATACAATTAACTTACCTAGCTCCCATATATCCCTGGACGGCTTCACCCGTATCCTGTCGCCAAGGTCTCCTCCATGTGCTGACTCGTCACTAGAGATGTAAACCACCTCCTCATCAGAATCCTCGGCGACTTCACTCATGTCATCTAGCCATCTTGTGCTTCCTTCTCGATAACTCTGTATACAATTATCAGTATATATCCTTTGAGCTTGATGTATCTACGTTGACGGAAGGTTCGCAAGTGTGTTGCCGGCATTTTAAAAATATTACACTCATATTTTTGAGAGAATAAGTATAGATGGTAGACATTGTTACAAGGAAAAGAAAACCAATTATACAGCAAGCTCTTATTTTTGTCGTGAATCCATAGCGAAATGTATTTAATGTATTTTTTAGTAATTTTAAATTTGATAGATTTAAATTAAATTTATTTACGCGAATACTACAACATTTTCAGTTGTGCATTCGCTGAAAAGCACTCGACACGGGCACTTATCTATACTATTATATACAGAGGATGTAGGGGCTAATCTCTAGATTTACTAAACCGATTTAGAAAATTCTTTTGCCAATAGAAAGCCTTATTATTTGTGAATGTCATAGGATTTTTTGTGGTAGTTGGATTTGCAAAGTAAGTCTGAGAAAAGGCGAAAGAAAACGTTTCTTATGAACGAAGGAACACAAAAAATAAAATATACCTATCAATAATTTTCACCAATATCTAGAATGATTCATGTGAAAGATTTTTATGTAACTATTAGTTAATAAATTTTAATTAAATATGGTACTCGTGTAAACCATAGACAAAGTATCTAAGATATATTATTGTCAATTGTTGATATGAAAGCACTAAAAGCCAAATTGATGTTTCACTTCACATAAAAATGTTACGACCAATAAAACATTATAGCTTTTTAAAATACATAACACTTTTAGGCACGATTTTTAGGCACTTATAGGCATTTTCTAGGTACAATTTCTATAAGTAATTATCTATACAAAAAGTAACGAAACATTCACTAAATCTTGGCTGCGCCTGCGCGTAATAATATACTCAAACATTTTGCTTTCATAAGACAACCTTTTTCTTCGAGTTTTTCACTGAAGACATTCCGATTTTAAACGGTACGCATATCAAAACAAAGCACGCGCGCGTTTCACTGAAAACTGAATTCTGAAATACGCCTCCACCGAATATAAACAGATTACACGTTTTGCCCAACAAAACCCGAGATCTTGCTAATCGAAAGTTTTCTTTGAAGAATGTGAGTGTCAGCCGTCTGAATCGCCCACGCAATTATTTATAAAGCGTACGTAATGTTACTATTTTATACTAAATTTTAATTGGGAAAATATTTTTCTTGTCATGTCTATGGTTTATGTATTAGATTTTAACATACAGGAGGAGGGTCGACTCTGAATCTTTTCCCCAAAGCCAGCTCAAGCTTTCCAATTGTCGTAGCAATAGAGATACAGGGATATTCATAAACCTGGATATAGTGCCTTCAAATAGGTATATCAGTTAAAGAGTTGACGTAAAGTGTTACCGTCATTTGTTTTAATAGCTCCTTAGTACTAATTCTGCGGGTAGTTAAAAATTAATTTACTATTTATTATTACAATCTCCATACTATTATGTATATACGTATACTCGATACGAGCAGAGTTGGCCTTGTGGTTTAAGCGTGCGACTCTCAGTGCGGTCGTACTTTCGATACCCGGCTGTGCACCAATAAACGTTCTGTATACGTGCGCATACATATAACGCTGGTACGGTTGTGCATGGCATTAGACAAATAACTCGACGGTGTGTGTGTCAGAATGTTGATCGCCTGTCTATTAAGAAAGAAATATTTGAGGTTGTAGCGCCACTGCTATTTTTATTTTTTAATTATGAATATGTATGAGTACATGGAACTAAGTCATCCTATATCCATAGCTTTATACCGTGCTTAATTTAGTAGATACAAGCACTAAAAAACATTGTCGTATTATCCCAGATCTAGGTATTATTTTATTATAAAGCCACTAAACTTTTCGCTTGAGCAAAACAGAGAAATGGAAAAATATGAAGAAGTATTATACCCTACCCTAAAAGGGGCCATACAAATACTAATACTAGAACAGTAACAAAACTAACCTTAATTTTTAGAACTAATACTTATACTAAGAAACTAAACAATTATTGAATGAATTATTAAAGCTTTCATAATAATAAAGCTTTTCTCTTAACTTCGATTCAGTTATTGGTACAAAACATTAGCTAACAATGCAGTCAACTTTAGAAATAGATGCTTATGAAATGTTGACGTAATTCAGCAAAATTATGGCTCAATAAATTAATTCCAGAAACCCTTTGGGCATTAATAGATTGTGTCGAGTGAAGTGCTTAATTCACGTGGAAGCTATAATTTATAATGCAATCGTTGTGGAATCAAATGGCCACTGCTGAGGCTAAAAGTTTTTTTTATTATTATTATTTACATTCATCAACAAAATTGAGAGAAGTTTCTTGCCAGTTCTTCTCGTCCGTTTCACGCCCTCGATTTGAGAACTGACAATGAATGTAAATTGTCATTAAATCTGTCATATTACCTTTAATAAATATATGCATAATAAATTACACGAATAAATATTGTTCACTTTTAAATATCTTTTTGTAAAAGATGTTGTCTAATCATATGTACATACCCTCTGTATGAACCAAGGCTGTATATTTTGCTCACTCAGGTTTTAAATGCAAGGATTACCTAAATCATCGAAGTTACGCCCCGAGAGTATAGCCAGACGTGGGCACTTCCTTCAGCTTTCGTAAAAATAGCATTTAATTATTTAGCATGAACTTATTTATGTTGTACGCGAGTGAAAATAAATAGTGTACACTATGTTTTTACATTATTAAAAGCATTCCGTTGAGACAGGATCCTTACGCCCTCAATATAATTAAAAATGTGATAAAACGGGTATTTGAAAGTTAAAAACATTTCAATAACTTGCAAACATGCAACATTCTTCAGTATCTATTCAGTCATTACAATTAAGGTTTTATATAAAAACAATTAAAAGTCCTTACCTCACTATCACTACAATAATTGTCGTGCAGCATCACTCATTTCATTGTAGATCAAGTTGTTTTGCATTGGTTTGGTTATTATTGAATATCCCAACAAAAGCAATATTTTAAAATCTATAAACGCAATACACGGTAGATAAAATTAAATTTCTCAACTCTTTAGATATTAAAATTTTTACAAGCGTCTAACCTCGGATGATTAGGATACAACTCTGCACAGTTTCGTACACTGAAATTATGTCTATCATGTTAAATATGTGCTGTCTATATATTGAATTGTATTATATATTTTAACATGTATTATTTACGTTTTTAGTTATGTATTTAATTAAGTTATACCCGAATCCCACGTTATTTTTTTTAATCTGATGTCATAGCGATTAAGTTGTTTAAATATTACAGTTACTAGAACGTTTTACTCAAAATGAAATAATTTGTCTAAACCAATGCTGTATTTTTGAGCTTAGTAAGCGACGCATACTGTTTATATGTTATCACAATATTTTTAGCTTTATATTTAAGTATAAAAATATTTAACCCAGAAATTTTTTGAAGTGAAACTTCTTTAGGCGCATGAGTGTAAATTTTTTACGAAAACGTCACAAAGATGTGCAGCGTTTTTGTTGAAGAAAAGGTCGAGAGCGATTGAGACCGATGGAGAGAGAGTGAGAATTACATTATAGATATTCTATTTTTAAAATTAAAATTTCGTAAGAAGAATTTATGAAATATTAGTATTTTATATTTTATGCAAAATAATTTATTGAAATCTCAAATGACGAATTGTAAATTAAATTGCCACGTGTTTTTATAATCGAAGAAATAAATTAAATTTTTTTTTTATAATTTGTAGGTATTAATTTTCGACACTTTTAATATTTTAATGACAATTAAGATAATTCAATTCCTAACATCTTCCTTTTTCCCTCCCTCTAAGTCTCGAAAATGTAAAGTTTTAGATTTGTATAAATATGAACAAGACTTAAAAATTCGTTTGCAAAAGAAGTTTCACTTCTGACATGTGTACTTTGTACGCACGCACTTTTTTTTTAGAAAATTTTGATTTAAATATCCTCGTAGTTCTTGTAAATTCTTACATAAGATTAAGGAAGCAATTTATGTAAATAGGAAGTATCTGAAGATCTGGAGTGTTTTATAATAATTCCTTAATGCGGAAACGAAACCACGGGCTGTAGTTATCTCAAGAACTTTAGATTACACATAGTATTAAAACGATTCGGTTCCAATCGTTCCCCTAAGTTTTACACCTGGCGGCCATTTTCTATTTATATCACATACAACAAACACTTCTCGTGGTTGATGTTATACAGATAAATATGCAACATTTTGTATTATGAGTAATATACGTAGATTCAATATGACATAAAATCAAATCTTGTTTTTCATTTATAAGAGTACTTATCATATATTGTCTAGAGTATTGTTGGCCTAATGGCTTCATCATGCTACTCTCATTCCTAAGGTTGTAGGTTCAATCCCTGGCTGTGCACCAATGGACTTTCTTTCTATGTGCGCATTTAACATTCGCTCGAACGGTAAAGGAAAACATCGTGAGGAAACCGGCTTGCTTTTAACCCAAAAAGTCGTCGGCGTGTGTCAGTCACAGAAAAGGCTGATTACCTACTTGCCTATTAGATTGACAACAGAAACAGATTCAGAAATCTTAGGCCCAATAGGGTTGTAGCGCCACTGATTTATTTCTTATTTAACAGATATTGTCTGTAAGGGTCTTTTGATACACGAGGCAAATTAATGCTATTTTAGCATATCTGTAGTGCGTGTGCGTGCTTCGCCTGTGAACCAATGTATTTTACTATATAGATTATTAAACAGATAACAGATACAGTAATGTATAGTGTTGGCCTAATAATGTGTAAATTTTATGCGTCCTATCAAAATATATAGTTTTGAAATGTATGAGGTAATTCACAATTACTGCCTTCTAATATTTGTCTTCTCGGAAATTTTAGATAATATGTAGGTTATGCCGGAAGGACAGAAAACGGATAATCGGAATTGACTGTACGATTTTTTAAAGCACTCAAATATATGTACTGTAATAAATTAAATAAGTTGTATTTAAATATAAAAACTACTTCAAAGCAAACTTTTGAATAGCTCTTAAAATATCTTTATGCCCTTGACTTAGAAAAGATGTTAAATTTTTCAGATTGGGGCCGACGGTGCTAACTCAGCTGTGAGAAATGCTATGGGCGTGCAATATGTATCTTGGAAGTATGACCACACGGGAGTTGTGGCTACACTGCAATTAGCTGAGGTAAACTAAACTCTGATTTTTAATTCCATAGAATTCTGACTGCTACCATTTTTTGATATGTCAGTGATGGCAAACCTTTTTGGCCGGGCACATTTTTTCAATTTCGATACGAGACTGAACATCTGAGTCTATACATACATTTTATTGTTAGTGAATGTATCCATTTTATTATGTGCGGTGCTTCACATTAAAAGTGGTTTAACGGCGAGTGGTAATTACGTTCCTTTTCATCACAAACAGTAAAAAACGCACAAGTAAAGATATCTTTTTTTTTTTAAGTTTTACTAAACCTGGAATTTGTAGGCAGTGATGCCAGCTAATGAATAAAATAAAGTAATTAAAGTTAATTCGATATATTGTTTGTGATATTGAAATATTTGTAAATATTTAGATTTACCTTTTTGTAGGTAAAACATAAAAATAAGTCAACTTTGTCCCTTTTCGGTGGAGAATTTTTTTAGTAGCAACACTTATGAAATGTCAGAATTCTATGGAATTAAAAATCAGAGTATAGGAATATAATCTCGTATTCGCTGGTGCGTGGGGCAAACGCGGTTCTATAGCCTATTCCAATTCGACACTTCTTTTAATCACTCTTAATACCTAAAAATTCATGTAGAGAAAATGGTTAATGTTAACAGTTGAAACTAAATTTAAGTTTTTCAACATTAATACAGTAGAACCTCTAAGTCGAAAATCTGCATAACTCGAAATACCCTTTATAAGTCTTGCATGTCTGTCTATTAGAAATAATCAGTGAGTCCCTGCAAGCCGTACATATTTTCATTCTATGACTCGGAAAGATCAATTGGACCTCTGTATCTCGAACATAGCAATATTTTACAACATTTATAATTCGATAAATTAAAACTTATTACCTCTATAGTTCGAAAAAAAAGAAATTATCGTCGTTCAGAATTTGGCGAAAATGTAACCCACCAATATTTCTTAGAATAAAATTTAAGAATAAATCTTAGACGAATCAAATGGTAGAAAATTCGATTTTACTACAACCGCCAAGTAGTATTAGAGATACAACCTCCAATTACATAGTTAATAAGATGTTACTTCTCCCTCATAGGCTGGCAACGCACCCACTAACTGGGTAACCATAGGCTGGGGTAACTGACGCCCCTATCTTAAACATAAACGTATTATTTCAGGAGTCGGAGAACACTACGGCCTGGCAGCGTTTCCTACCAACCGGTCCGATAGCCCTTCTACCACTAAACTCGAAGCAAAGTTCTCTCGTCTGGTCCACATCTCCCGAACACGCTAAAGAACTGCTCAACTTGCCTGAGGAGAGATTTGTTGATGCCCTCAATGATGCTCTGGTAAGATTTTTCATTAATATGGTGATTCATTTAATATGGTGGATTTGTGGTTTAATTATAATCAATTTATACAATAAATTGTATCAGAACACGTCTTTATAGAGTCTGAGAGGAAAGAGAACTGACGTGACAGTTATGCTAATTTAAACAATTCTTATTTGACGCATCATTTATTCACAAAAAAAAAATACTTTTCCTATTAAGTGTTAAAACGATATCTTTCGTACTGTAATGATCTAACGGTGTTGTCAACATGACATACACATACATATGACATATTCTTGAAGCCTTGTTGTATGTCCAAAAAAATATAAACGATTTTAAAACAAATGGTGACTTTCACCAAGTATAATACGCGAAATAGAACTAATTTGAGTGTAAGAACAACCAGGCTCCAAAAGATAAACTACTCCTTATATGGAAATTGTATTCGTTTTTACAACAAACAACGAAATTAGAGAATTATCACTAAATAAATTCAAAGCCCTCGTTAAACAAAAATTAATCAATAAAGCTTTTTATAAATTTGAGGAATACTTAAATGATCCTAATCCTTGGGATTGATTTCCTCCAGTCCAAACAATTTGTATGACAATACTTGGTGATTAAAAAGAATGGCGGAAAGTTTCTTGCCAGTTCTTCTTACCCGCTCTACGCCCTTGACTTGCGAACTGGTAGTAAATGTAAATTTACAATTAATTTAACTTCTTTCTGACAATTCATAAGTGTACTTGTTTACCTACATGAATAAAGATATTTTGAGTTTGACAAAAATGGTAATTTAGCACTGCTGAGACTACAAATCCTTCAACTGTTCTATTTTCGCACAGACTTGTATGCACAGATTTTTTTAGTAAAAGTAATTATCAACGTATACGTTTTCCAGTGGAAACAATACCCCCGAAGCAAAGGCATAGATGCCTGTACTGCCTGGGTTGGGTCTATACTCCACCGTTTGGGTCTACCCGATGGCGCTCAAAGGCAGCTCCCCCCCAGCATATGCGAAATAACTCCCAATTCCAGAGCTGCTTTCCCCCTTGCCTTTGGACATAGCACTAAGTATATTGCACCCGGTGTAGTACTCATTGGGTAAGTTTATTCAATAAATAGTTTTGTCTTTTATTGACATAACTTTTAGACATAGACAATAGACACTTTTTTAACGGATTTGAAGTTATGTTTTACTATAAATTTACAATTATTTTACATAATTTTAAATTTAACCGACATTTCGCGTGCCTTACAGCGTGCGTGGTCACGGTGACTGAAGACAAAAGGTGTTGAATGTCAAAAAGTATCACAGCTGTAGAAAAAGTTGTGTTATCTGTATTTATTTCCCCGGAGTTGGTATCGACTAAAAGATGTAGGGTCGGTCGTCGGTTAAATTTAAAATTATGTAAAATAATTGTAAATCTATAATATAAAAATGAATCGCAAAATGTGTTGGTAAGGGCATAACTCAACAACGCCTGGACCAATTTGGCCAATTCTTTTTTTATAATATTCCTTGAAGTACGAGGATGGTTCTTACGGAGAAAAAAATTGAGTGAAAAAGTCTAAAAACAACACTTTTCTATATTCCCATACAAAATATTCGTAATAATACTTAAAAGTCAATTTGAACTTTAATACCATATCATGAAGTTCAAGTGTTAGTGGAGGGGTTCCGGGAAGGTAAATTTTTATTTTTTAACATAATGTATTTGTTGTCTCATCAACTTTCTTTTTTATCTTACTAGCTAGACCGGTGTCCCGAATAACAGAATAATTATTTAAAAAAAAAAGAATCAAATGTAAGGCGGTACGATGTTCGCCAGGCCAGCTAGTTTATAATAAAACATAACTTCAAATCCGTTAAAAAAGTGTTTGTCAATAAATAGTTCTTAAATATATATAAAAGTGTTAATAGAGTTGAGAGAGCTGTCTTAAATTATTCAATCAGACCTCATTTCACAGACAATTCGTGGTAAAAGGCATGGGACTGCAAAGGATGGATGAGGCTTTTTGCCGTCCTACAAACTAATAGAATCTATCTAATCTAAAATTACTAATGAAAAATATGGGTATTTGATTTGTAAAAATTTATTCTCATCATTTTTCGAATGAGAGAATTCATTTAATGAGTCTCATTAAGAAATAGTTTATATGCCATTAGACATTGTTTAATGGGCGAGTATGAATGCTAAAAAAACCTACAGTACTTTTTTTGTAGTTATACTTCATTTGGCGTTAGGGAAAAATGATGAGAGTAAATTTTTACGATGCGCGCGTACACCGTCACAAAAACCGACACCCTGAAGTCAGCTATAGTCAACATTTTAGTTTTTTCTATTAATAGTGTCGTTTTTTCTACAGACTTAGATTAAAATTTTTGAAAAGATTTTTATCTTGTTACACCAAAGAAGTATAAATTCTAACCCGTGTACATAAGTACACACACTTTTTTTAGTATTGGCAAAATTCAGAATATTCTCTGAATTTCTTCAAACTTCTTCCTTTACACGGCGAAATTTATTTTTTACGATATTTTTTCGAAATAAAAAATTAGCCTGTTACTTAGAAAAAACCATTGTAGTGGTGGATTTTTTTATTTATTGGTCCAGTAGTTCTTGAATGTATTCCTTAAACATACAAAAATACATATTTTCTCTTTTTATTTAAGAGAAAAAAAATTATATTCTGACGGAAGCTATCCGCCGTAATATTTGCATAGTTCATACATTTTTAATTGGCCGATCACTTATTATATTAAATAAAAAAAACTAAATCAGTGGCGCTACAACCTCTTTAGGTCTTGGCCTCAGATTTCTGGATCATTTTTAAATCTAATAGGCAAGTAGGTGATCAGCCTCCTAATTATTATATTACGTTACTTAAAATATTTATATATAAACATTTTAATTTTATTTTGGCAATTATTTCCAGTGATGCGGCGCATCGCGTCCACCCACTTGCAGGTCAAGGGGTTAACCTTGGATTTGGAGATATTAAGGATTTGACGGAACTGCTCACTGATGCTTTATACTCTGGATTAGATATAAGTAATACTTTTAAAACTACTTTAACTTTACACTGGGTTCGATTTCCAGGAAACAAAAAGTTTGAAAGTCAGATGACCATAATGACTATAAGTATCCATGACACAAAAGTAACTGCTCCATTGGTAATTAGGTGTTAGTAAAACAGTATAAATAGACCAGTCAGTCAAGACAATTAATTCATAATAATTCCAAAAGTTTTCAAATTTTGATGTAAGGTCGGGAGTGGTATTAAAACAAACTATAAAATTTTGCAACCTGCTCTGCGGTCCGGAACATTGTTGAAAATAAGTTTTGGTCGTGAAAAAAATTCCAAAAGTTCTGCAAACTTGGGGAAGTTTTCGATATAATATTTCATATCACGTATAAAATTTGCAACCAACCTAAGTGTACGGAACATTTTTTGTTATTAAAAATTAATGTTTTTCTTTATTAAACTGAAGGAAAACGTTCCAAAAGTTCTGCAAATTTGACAGATATATCGAAAATAAAATAAATAACAAAAAATGTTCCGTACACTTAGGTTGGTTGCAAATTTTATACGTGATATGAAATATTATATCGAAAACTTCCCCAAGTTTGCAGAACTTTTGGAATTTTTTTCACGACCATACAGACATAAAATTAATTTAATTGCAATTTTAACAATGTTCCGGACTGCGGACAAGGTTGCAAAATGAGATTTATTGTCGTCCCAATGTACCATTCACTTGACCGAAGTTTGAAAACTTTTGGAATTATTATCAAATTTTCGATTTCGAATGTCTATAATGACTGGCCTAAAATTCGGCCTGTCTCGGCTGTGACAGGGCGTATATTTTGGAAATAAATCTTAATATATATAAATTACGTGTCACGTTGTTTGTCCGCTTTGGACTCCTAAACTACCGAACCGATATCAATCAAATTTGCACACCGTGTGCAGTTTGATCCAACTTAAAAGATAGGATAGCTTACATCTCAATTTATACCCGCAATATTATTTTATTTTATTGCAAAATATTTGTTTATTATTTGATAGTCACAATTCTAACAGATGGCGCTGTGTTGAAAGTACCAACGTTTCACATAAGCTACAAATTAATGCCATAACCACCAAAAAAGCATGGTGGTCCCCATGACTGGTGTTCTCCTACCGTTTCCCTTGAATAGTTTGCTACTAAATAATATAACAAAAACCTTAGCCACAGCAACGCTTGGCCGGTCTGCTAGTATAGTATATGTTTCACAGAGGTAATGTAGCATACCAATAGAGAAATAAATTTTCATTAATCATAGACAAAAACACATCTTTACTCTTTATTAGTATAATATTAATTCATCGATTGTATTCATATCAGCGCCACATACACGAGTATTTTTGGTGATTGATACCTTCAATAATAAAATATAAATAGTATTTTCAAAGTCACTCCGAAAACATCTTTAATTATTTTATCTTTCTAGCCCACTCAGACTGGATGCAAAAATACGAGACGACCCGCCAACGTCACAATGTGCCCACTCAATTATGCGTAGACGCCCTATATAGGCTGTATGCGTACAACATACCTCCGTTTGTTCTAGCCAGGAGTATAGGCCTACAAATCACTAATGCCCTTCATCCAGTTAAGGTAAATTTTAAGATTTTAATAAAATGCATTTTAATTTCCTTTCTATGTAATTTTAATTTTAGAAATGGTTTTTCCATACGATTACATAATTATAATAATAATAAATAATATTTTTATATATAAAATTTTGTAAATGTTTTTCTAATTTATTTTTCTGTACGATTGCAGTAAATGTTATGTTCTTACGATAAAAATTATCATTATTCTTATTTGGTTAACGTGTAGAGAGCCTCAGTGAGAGGGAAACGCTTTGAAGTCAAACCCTGAATGATAATAAAAAGTGCGTGCGTCCAAAGTACACATGTCAGAAGTGAAACTTCTTTGTAAATTATTTATTGAATAATTAAGCTGCCCAAATCTCATAATTTAATTTTGCCAGTCTTTTTATATTAATGAATGATACTAAGGCTAATTAAAAACCAGAACTAAAATTAGTTACTGTTATGTATATAGAAATACCATCATAAGTATGATAACAATTACCAAATAATAAAAAAAATTCATTATTATCATAATTGCTCACTTGTGTCCACATTTTCTAAAATAGCCAACTGGGTCTTAGCAAAAAAGGTCTTGGTTCTGTGCCCTTATAAAGATACAAAACCAACAAAAAAAATGGTAATTTAGTTACTAAATAAAATAATAGTGATAATGATATGTATTAAAAACACCATAGGTGTTCAAGTATTGCACCACAATTATACTAGCACATCTTTATTGAAGAAAAAAAATCCATAAAAACGCTGCAAATCTCAAAAAAAAATTATCTTCATGCGCCTAAAGAAGTTTCACTTCAATAATAACATTCTTCACTTCGTGATGTTCTCCCAATGACAGAAATCAGATGGAAAATAAGATAAAATAAATGAAGACATAGAATGTAACGGCGGTCTACACCGGTGGTGTAATCCAAAGTTGCATAATATAATCGTTATAAAATACATACATAAAACTACTATACAATAGGGAAAAATATCAATATTTACTGATACAAGGTTGTCAATTGTTTCTTCGTCTGCCTATACTGAGTAATGATCAGTTATTTAAACTAAATTTCTCTTCAATAGTAAATCTAAACAAAAGAAAACGAAGACAAAAGTTACCGGCACCGGTAATACGCTTTATGTGTATTATTTATTTATTACGTAATTCCTACAGCTAGCATAAATTATATAACAAAAATCGGTTGTCTGTAAAGTCGGTTTACTGACGATAGTTGAACGTGATAAGAAAATACTGATGGAATGGTTGCATTTTTCAAAGGAAAATTTTAATTTTATTTGTTTGATAGATATTTTGTATGGATATAGAGAAGGAGGTAAATGGACATCACAAATGTATTGATCGATTACAATATAATCGATATAATACGATATATACTTTATATACAATAAAGATGTCGAACGCTGCCGAACGCGGAGGCCGATTGTGCCTCTTTGTCGCTCGTTTCGCGGTCTCGCTTGCACCTTAAGCCTTAAACGCCTCAGAGCGAGGTAACGCCGCATGTGTCATGTTTTTTCTTTCGTGCAGCCGGCTCCATCGAATTATAAGACGTTGTCACGTCAAAAAGCTATTATACTAAAGAGATAGCCAAAGATGGAAAAGTTCGAACAAAAAGTATTAATGATATTTATCTAGGTAATATCGAAATCAGCTGTGTTGTGTGATGGGGTGTATGTGGGGTGTGCTCATGGTGCAAGTTACTTAGCGCTATGGATATTCTTTACTCCGTTTTATTTAGTCCAAATTGATTATTGAGATAAAGTCAAAGTCAAAATATCTTTATTCATATAGGTAAACAAGTACACTTATGAACGTCAGAAAAGATGTTAAATTAATTCTAAATTTACATTAGAGGCGTAGAGCGGGCAAGAAGAACTGGTAAGAAACTCTCCGCCACTCTTTTTAATCTAAGTTTTGAGTCAATCAAATATTTTGAACTGGAGCAAATCAATCCCAAGGATTAGAATCATTTAAATATTTGTCAAATTTATATAGGTTTTAAGGTTATCAACATCAAACAGAAGTATTTTAAGAGTTAAGAGGAATTTAGTTTATTGACTTGATTGACTTGATTGACCTTCTATTACTTTAGTTTAGGGTTGAAATTATGTATTAAGCAAGTTCCTCTTGACATGCCTTCTTTTAAGATTCACATAAAACGAATATTGGCAGCAATACATTAAAAAATATTATTTATACAGTTTTTTGAACATCGTTTCTATATTCACATTAAGTTTTGATTTGAATATCTTAGATTTAAAATGACTGTAAAGAAATAATGGTCAAATTAAGCACGCGTTTATGTACACGCGGCCTATAGGCTCTGTAACTTCAATAGCGATTGCGTTCCCAAGCTTGCGACATATGCACTATAGATATTAAACCGTTGGGATTGGTATCGCTATGGCCATTGAAAGATACAGTGTAAAACCGCGGAGTGTTTAATATGTATGTTTTACGTTTCAGAAGCTCCTAATGTCCCATGCTACAACATGAACAAGAAGTATTACTTAATTGTTAATTATAGTCATTCAAGTATTAATTATTAATGCGTTTTATTCATACTTATATATTGTTGATGAAGAGACACATTAAATTTCAAAATAAATATGATAAATTTGACTTTTTATTTTAGTCTAGTACATGGTAATCTTCAAAACTAATAACCCAGTGCTACCACTCTTCGGGTCCTTGGCAAGTTACATCTGTTTGATGTCTGTTTCATCTCGGGGTGAAGAATCACGATATCCCACTATCAAAAGCGAATTTTGTATTTAGTAACTTAAAATAAGGGCAAGCGTCTGTAATTTCAAAGTATCAAGGAGCTCTTCCTCCGACCTAAAGAGAGGATCCTCGAAAAATTTACCACTGACGGACCCGAAGGTCCTGTGGCTTGCAAAAAGTAGTCGTTTCAGGAAATGACGTCATCGCAGTGATTGTAGCCATAGATTGTAGATGTCGCTACAAAACCAATGTTAAAACAAAATACATTTAATAGAAAAATCAAACGTGTTGACCGACTGACCCCCTAAACCCAACAGTTCATATATTCAAAAATATACATACTACATTCAGTTGAATAAGTTTTACAATTAGCAAAAAATATTAATTCTTATATGTTCGCTTTTGTTCTCTATACACGTAAAAGGGTAAGGGAGACATGTCTATGTGTATTGTGTACAACTCCCCCTATCTATCAAATTCCGTGACAGATGGACGTGTATTACAAGCTTAGTTAAGAAGCAATTTTATTTGACTTGACTGACTTTATAAACCTGAAGACAATTTATGTTTTGGCAGTCTAACCATTTCTATAAATAATTAATTAATCATGATCACTCATAATTGCTAATAATATAACAAATGAACTACGCAGAAATCTGCCTTTGTCCTACTTGTTAACCTAATTATTTAAGCCATACAAGTTTTATGCCTCATAACAAAATGTTTTAAGTGACGCTTAATAAAAACTATTGGTAACAAAGTCAAAACTAGTATTAGTTCTGATATCATTTAGTAAAAAGGGAATGATTTTCATGTAGGTAGATCACTCTTTTTTATTAAAATTATAACTAGAAGCTACAGGGCCTTATTTAGTTATAATATATTATGACCATTTAGGCGAAAAATAGACATTCCACGGACATACAAAACGGATATTTAATTAATTATCGCAATAAATTATAATGTTTTAACCTAACAACCATGTCATTAACGTCGAAATATAAATAGACTACCTATTTACAAGTTTACGACCGTGTTATCTTCGATTGTTAGTCTTCCTGGAATAACGAACAACACGACGAGTAATATTCAGCGTACAATTCTTAGAAGTTATAAATAGTGGTTTGCTATTTGAAACCTGCATGTTGGGGATAATATTACAAAAATAATCCATCCTGTGGCTGAAGTAACAATACCTTTTCCATTTTCACTGTAATTATAAGTTAATCCAGATTATGATATAGATAAGTGGTATGTTAGGTTCAATTTACACTTAATTTAAAAAAATAAACTTCTCTTGCTACATTCATAATAACAAAAACAAAGTAACTTTTATTGTCTTTGCTAATACTTAATTTAGTAGTTCTCACACTAGGGAATTTTTTTTTTGCAATGCAACAATATCTATTAATGGTTTTGTTATACTTGTGGGAAAGTACGTTGCATATTTCCTTAGGTGAGGGGATAAAAACGAGGTCGTCTTGGTAACGTGTTTTCGAAACCCGCCGACCGACGACGCACGCAAGTCGCAGCTGCTATCGATCTATGGGAGGGTGTGACGTCACATAATAGCGGCAGCCGCCATGTTACTTGTTGACGCATTGATAAGGTGCACGCAATTTACAACTTTATTGAGGATGCAATTATAGCATAAGATTGCGCGAAGATACAATGAAATGATTCAGAGATGCGTCATTGAAGTATACAGAATTGTTTTACTATTCACTCATAATATTATAATATTAGGTTGGTGTTTCACCTACGATACTAATGGAATATAATCGGGAAGTTGTAGCTAGGAACCTACTTATTATTATATGAGATACGTAATAAATTCTCGTTAGGTACAAAAAGACTAAAATCGATATCATTCCTATCATGTACAATCGTATCTTGTTTATACAAAATGACGGAAGGAAACACCTATGTTACATACTTAGAACTCCAATTATCCGAATTAATGGGGACCGGACCCATTCGGATAATCAAATATTCGATATCGGATTTTTAAAAAAAAATTGCCATTGGAGGAGAATAAAAGCTACGTTTTGATATTGCACTATTTTTTTATTGAATTAAATGAAAGAAACATGAAATTTTCACATGTTTTAAATATAAATAAAATGTACTTATGTACAAGTTTAGAAATAAAAATCATTTTTTTAAACATCTCCGTCAATGTAGCTGTGGCCAAGTTTCGGGCGGTCACGCATTCGCTTGACGGTGAGCAGTTGCAAGTGGTCACACTCGCACTTCGGATAATGGATTGGATAGTGGTTAAAGAGATTATTAATCATGTATCAAACTTTGCAATATGTTTTACCTAAAAACCAAATTAATAAAGATATATGTAGGTAGGTATATTGTGAATCATTCGAAGGATTACTGTAGTAATAATAAAGCCTCATTTATTCCTTGAAACAATACTATTTACAAAAGATATACGTAGTACGTACACATACTATTATACAAAACATGTTTTATTTATAACAGGTCCTTGAAAATAATATATTACCTGTACTTAATATATTTTTTACCTTTCATATGTACCTATTTATACCTATACATTCATTACGACGAAACAATGTTTAACTCTTAAGACATTTATGAACCTGTGATTTAGATGCCTAAACCGAAATTCCAGCCAAACCTTTTTGCCTAATCCCTTAAACAATAGAAAAGAATTTGCAGTTTAGGTACCTGCAGCTTTCCTGCTCCCAAAACTCCTATTGTCTTACTCATGTCTAAGGCAATAATATAATCGGATTAAACAAGTTTTTACAAAATATTTATCACTATGTTATGGTACCTACCCTATAGGTATGCAAAGTTAAAACTAGATTACTAATAAATAAATTGTAGATCAACTGTGGCAGATCATTAGCTAATGCCTATTTTATTAATGAGTTATTTGTACTATGATGAATAATGGAGAAAAAGTATTAAGTAAGTATATGTACCTAATTTAGTTTTCACGGGTACTTGTTAGATTTTAAATTTTATCGCATAATGTTAATTGATGGGGTATCTGGAGATGATAGAAGTACAAAGTAGATCAATATTCAATTGAGGAATACGCAGTAGTCAGTACGCAATACGCATGTCCATTTATTTTTTCTTGACGGACGGTTCTTATTTCTTGTCGAAACGAGTCATCTGCAGTATTACCCCCCCTCTTCTACATACCCCGCTGGCCGAGGTCGCAATTCACAAATTTTTAGTTCCATTTATGAGTTGCCACTTTATTCTATTTACCTAAAACTAGGCACAATTTTTGAAACTCAAATTAAATGATAAAACCAATACCATTTACTTTTAGTATTTTAACTGCGTTTTTGTGGTAACAAATAATAGTAAAATGTAATTTTTAGAATTTTACAAATTTATTTAGAATTTGAAAAAAGGAATAAAACCTGTTACTATTATTAATGCATATTATAGGCCTTTCAGTTTGAGGCATTACTATTTATCGTAAGTAAACTAAATCAATTTAATGATACTTCATATTCTTAAATATACTTTATTATTTCGATTGTACTAGGACATTATATTATTAACATTACAAGGCTTAAATATGTTTTATCACATTTCGGTTATGTGTAATTTATCAAGGGAATAAATGGCATCCCAGTTTAGATACGCTTCTGAGCTCTTGATTGGCCCGCTATTGGCACGACGCCATTTTGTCATACAACTGCGCAGTTCCGTGCTTCAATAGCGTCCCCTATAAAAGCTGAACGTGACGTAATCCGCTCTCATTAATTTCCCCGACGCGGTGCAGTGTGGATGTAGTGTTGTGAAGTGTAACCAAGTTCTTCAGAAATCTATTGGGCATTGTGCCTGATCGGATACAGGTGTGTAATCTTCTCACACGCTATATAATTCCTATAATTTTTAATATGGGCTACAGTGCACAAGAAAAACATATTGTTGACTTTTGTGAAAGTAAAACTGAATCCCTATCTAACTGGGTCCGTAAATTTAAATCTAAGTCATTAAATGCAAAGACAAAGAGAAAGCGTGACTTGCGTATGATCGCTGTATTAAGTAACTCCCTATCACGTGCTGAAAATGAACTACTATCGAAACAAAGAGAACGTGCTAGAAAATGGGCTCAAATGCAAGCAGATCTCGGAATAACTGACAAAGAAGAGGAGTTGGCGAAGCAGGAGCGAGAGAAAATTGATAATTTGTGGAAGAATGATCTCAGTGGCCTAGATAGCTTTTTTAAAGAATTGGACAATGTAAAACCCCTAGTTAAGTAGGATGAACAATAGGTAATGTAAAGTATTTTTGTATCTGTGATATATGCAAGATGTTTTCTAAATTTACAGTCCCATTGCGTTTCGCGTGGGCCTGCATCCGACGGCCGCCATCTTGGTTGCCGCGGGGGCGTGCTCGGAGGTAACTACGGTATGGGTTTGTAACGGTATCATGCATTTTACTAGTTAATTTAATGTTTAATTGTTAATAAATGTTTCAGTTAGCTATATACGATAGTCGATTGGAATTAAAAGTTTATTCATATTGAATAAGAAAATTGTAACATATGTTTAAGTATGGAAATAAATGTTTTAAAAATGGCGTAGAATTTAATTTGTCTATTTTGTAATATTTGAAATTTTCACCCAACGTGTATTATTCCATGAGTCATCGTGGACTTCGGAGACAATGGCGGTCGAGGTGCGAGTTGCTGCGTAGTTTATTGTGAAAGGAGAGATGGCGTACGTGTCTCGGCTTTGCTGCCTTACGGCTGCCTCAAACAAACCCTCTACACGAGCTTTTACGGGGCCGGTACACAGTTCACATAGGTAACGATAGGTACCTATTACCTACCCACTTGCGCAATTAAACTTTTTATGTATAGGCCCTAGAGGGCCGTTATGTGTTGTTATTTCGAGCACAGATACAGCTGACGAAATGAGGCGCAAGTAAGACGGCTCGCTGCATGCTGTCATACAACTAATAGCTGATGATATTTTATCGTGCGGTATTTGACTAATATGTAAGAGTAGGGTGAGTGCCAATAACCTGTTTATATAATGCCCGATTTAGACTTGGGCTAGTATGTGTTGACTTTTAAATCTACACAGGCTGAGCAGTATGACGGCACAAATGCAAGTAAATTGGAGCTCGCAAGTTGCACAAATGTACTCTACATATTTATCCTGGCATTGAGCGATAATAATATAAAAAATGAAAACAAAATAACTAGGTAACATCTTAAACATATATATAATAGCTGTAACATGGAATAAAGACGCATCAAAACCATAAATTATTGAAACAAATATCTGAAAATAACTCTTCGAGGCGAAATCGAGAAAAGTCATAATGGTAAGTTGTTAAGATAACCAAACAGTATTTCGTATTTTTTCTCGTAGCTTATAATATAAATGTATAACATTAAGCACAGTATGATATCCAATTTCGATAAGATGTACAAAACAATTGACGCCATCTTGATTTGTTCGTGTACAATTCACAGCTTTTTTCCTGGGTGCCGTGGTGATACCAAGACCGTTTTATCACTTTTAAGATTATGATGCATTGTGGACCTTCAAGTAGAAGGAATCACTACCGCTCACGTCACCACGTCCCTAAAAGCAAGACGACTTATTCTCTAACGTAGGCAATAACCCTGAATTAAGGTCATATACAAAGAAAAACACGTGGTAATAAAAGGTAAGTGGATATTCCGTGAGTGGAATCATTTATCCTTGTTACCAAGGCAAAAACTATTGACCGATTTCCGGATTTAATTAACACCTTTTTAAAATCATAAGTCTTCGTATTAATGCCGTTACATACGGCGGTAGGCAATAATGAGGTTTATAGGTAATTCTTTCAGGAACTCTTAAATAAATTTATTTACCTTATCATAAGTAGCTATACTATGGATCTGATTTTGCGGACTTATAAATATGCACACTTGGCAAAGATGTGGAATATTTTGGGCATAACTGTGTACCTGGCACCCATTATATAAATATAAAACCTATCATTAACCAACCAACCATATTCTATCTGCTGCGAATAAACATGCTGAAATGTATAAATGAACTCTGCGAGAACTTTGAAACTTTCAATGCAAGTAAGATTTAACACTGGAATATCTGACAATCCTTAATTCACACAACTACAACCAAACAAAATATTTTTTACACACTGATACTTAAACCAAATTAATTATGAACAAACGAGAAAAGTTATGACAATATTGGAAAGATATAACTTATCTACGAGAACTTTTCTCAGAGACGCCACTAAGGTAATTTTTATGAATAAAGTGCATTTATCCTTATTTTATTAATCCCTAATAATAAAATAATTAATAGCAGCTTAATCTGCTAGTTAATTAATGCGATATATCGCCATTTTTTGTCTAGTATTGTTTAGGAAGCTGAAATAGAAAGAGCTGGATTTTCCTGGTTTTTTTGGAAGTTGGCATGACATACTTAATTAATATCCATTGTGGGGATGCAAACGACATTAATGAGCTGCCGATCGATTCTGCATTGACTTCAGGCTGGTTTGTGACTGATTTATATTCAAATGCATGGCGGTTAATATGCTTATGAAATTTATATTGCAGTCACAGATATCTTTTGGACATACAAAGCTTTGTCTTTTGCTAGGATAACGTGTTTCTTACAGGCATATAATATAATGAAATGTTAATTTATTTACGATACATATTTCAAATAGGACAAGTATTCATGATCAATGATATTTAAAAGAAATCAAGTATGAAACGCAATGATGAAATACGACCTCATTATAACAAAAATATTCATAAATATAACTTGATAAACATTCTGAACATGTTGAATAGAAGAATAATTGTATTTAGGGCCTATAACGTATCTTCAAAAATCCTCATCGAAATAGAAGCGTATTCTGGAATTAAGGTAAATCACACAGCGAAAATGAATTGAAATCGCTTTGTTATATATTACTTCCATATTATTTTCTTCTCTAAAATTTTATCTAGTTTTTTTAAAAAAACAATTTTAAACAAATAACAGGTGTATTCAATTGTATTAAGTAGTAACTTAAGGACCCAGATCTTGGCATTGGATTGTAAATGCAATGATAATGAACATATTCAAAGCTTTAAACTGGCTCCGATATTATTATACATATGAAAAGTCGAGAAAATAGAACCGCTGGCAGTCTGATTGTTATTTAGTTTTTATATCGTTTATGAATCTCAAGTAAGTTAAACTCTGTAATTATTGTATAAAGATCTTGGAACAAGGTTAAAGTTACGTAATTCACATTTCAGATCTACCTATTTTAAAATAGAAATCAAATAAGTGACTAGACAACTGATACCTTTGACACGAGTTCATTTTAGATGCACGAATAAAAAAATCACAATTTATTTACGTACCACATCACATTCAATATTGTTGATGGATGGATGCGAGGCGAATGGACAACAATAATAATTAACAGAAATTTATATAATTGAAATAAGTGCAACAACTGTCGTGTTGAGAAACGATCGGAATATTTTAAATTACTTTATGATGCCACCATGCACTATGTTGGTCATAAATTGTGCCACGCGCACCTCGTTAAACACTGCGCCCGCCATGGGTGGAAGTTACTGCCGCAAGCGATCTTCGCCGTGGGTCCTAAGTCCTGCCACGCGCGCTCCAGGTCGTGGGTGCCTGATCCTGCCATACGCGCTCTGCGCCTTGGGCGCTTCACGCTGTGGGCGCTAAATTATGTCGGACGTGCTCTACTGCGCGCTGTGAGTGCTATAACTTGCCACACGCGATCAACGCCGTAGGCGCTAGGTCCTGCTGCACGCAATCTACGCCAGGGGCTCTAGATCCTACTAGACTTGGTCCAGTTCCGGCCACAGGCGCCTTACGCCGTGGGCGCTAGAACCTGTCGCACGCTATCTACGCCGTGGGTGCAAGAAGCTGCCGCACGCAATTTACGCCGTAGGCGCAGGCCTACCACACGGGCTCCAAGCCGTGAGTGCTAGATACTGCCATACGCGCTCTACCCCAAGGGCGCTAGCTTCGCTTCGAGCGCTCTACGCAGTTGGTCCTGTTCCGGCACCAAGCTCCACGCCATGGTCACTGATCCTGCCACATGGGCTCTACGCCTGAGGTGCTTCGGGCTGTGGTCGCTAGGTCCTGCCGCACGCAATCTACGCCGTGGGCGCAGTCCTGCCAAACGCGCTCCAGGCTGTGAGTGCTCTAGATCCTGCCATACGCGATCTACTCTGAGGGCGCTAGCTTCGCTTCGAGCGCTCTATTGGCCACTGATCCTACCTTACAACGTTGGTAGCTGAACAGGCCGTGGGTGCTACATCTAGATACGCGCTATCGCCATTGTTACAGCTCCAGGTAACACGCACTCCACGCCGTTAGTTCCGGAATATGCAATGCGCGCTACGCTGTTGGTCACTCATCCTGCAACGTGAGCTGAACGCTGTTAGCAGCAGCACCCGCCATAAATGCTCCAGTGCGTGTACTCCAGATCCTGCCACATGCGCTCTTCGCCATTCGCACTGAACCAGCCACATGCACGTTCTCTAAGCGATTGTTACAGCCCCAGACGACACGCGCTCTACACCGTTGGCAGCAGAACCAGACATTAAGCGCTCCAGAGCGTGAGCTCTAAATCCTGCTGGACGCTCTCTACGCTGTTGGTCCCAGATCACACCACACGTGCTCTACGCCGTTTGTACCAGAACTGCCTCGCGCCGTTGGCAGTAGAACAGGCCGTGGGCGCTAGATCTTGCCACACGCGCTTTAAACTATTGTTACAGCTTTAGGCAACATCAGACACACAACAGCACGCTTCGCTGTTGGTCACTCATCTTGCCACAGTTAACGCCGTTAGCGCAGAACCAGCCATAGCGTTCCACGCCGTGGGCGCTAGATCCTGTCACACGCGCTCCTCGCCATGGGCGTTAGATCCTGCCGCACGCCCTCCTCGTCATTGGACCTGAACCTACGACACGCACGCTCTCCACGCGATTCTAACACCACCAGGCGGCATGCGCTTGTCTACGCTGGCCATCGATCCTGTCACAAGCGCTCTACGCTTGTCTACGCAGAACCAGCCTCAAACATCCAGGCTGTGGGCACCAGCTCTATGCCAGGTTTTGAAATTGTTTGAAATGTAACATAAAATCTCACGTATCCTAACACCTCTTGCTCGTAATTAATTATTCTGCAAATACAATGTTTAAATTTTAAAAAATACTAATGGACTACTATTCGTTTGTTTTGAATTTTTTGTAAATGTAATTATTTTTGTTTGAACATTGTACCACCATAGTAGATCCAAGCAACACTGACGCTTTATTGTTGGTTGCTTGCACCCTGTGCAGTGCTTTTTAAACTTCTGCAAGCAACTACGGGATGTACTACAAGGACTGCTTCACGATCATCAGCTTTGAGCTCTTGCAATTGCGGGGTGCGTCTCGGCTCCTGTGACTACTGTGGCTTCAGGCTCCGGCTACTGCGAGGTGCATCTACGAGCTCATGCGACGGGTGTTTCTCTAAACTCCGGTGATTGTGGTAGTGCATGCTCCAGTGACTGCGGGGCATGCATCTGCAGTCTCCGCCGACTGCGGGGTGCATCTTCATTCTCCGCCGACTGCGGGGTGCATCTTCATTCTCCGCCGACTGCGGGGTGCATCTTCATACTGCGCCGACTGTGGGGTGCATCTCCAGTCTTCGCTCACGCCGACTCCGCTGACTGCGGGGTGCATCTTCATTCTCCGCCGACGAGGGGTGCTTCTTCATTCTCCGCCGACTGCGGGGTGCATCTTCATACTGCGCCGACTGTGGGGTGCATCTCCAGTCTTCGCTCACTGCGGGGTGCATCTGCAGTCTCCGCTGACTGCGGGGTGCATCTTCATTCTCCGCCGACTGAGGGGTGCATCTTCATTCTCCGCCGACTGCGGGGTGCATCTTCATACTGCGCCGACTGTGGGGTGCATCTCCAGTCTTCGCTCACTGCGGGGTGCATCTCAGGCTTCGCCCAATGCGGGGAGCATCTCCAGGCTTCGCCGAATGCGGGGTTCATCTTCTGGCTCTGCCAAGAGGGTGCTCTCAGGCTCTGCCGACTGCGAAGTGCATCTTCAGGCTCTGCCGACTGCGAAGTGCATCTTCAGGCTTCGCTGACTGCGGGGTGCATCTTCATACTCCGCCTGACTGCGGGGGGTGCCTCTTCATTCTCCGCCGACTGCGGGGTGCATCTTCAGGCTTCGCCGAATGCGGGATGCATCTTCATTCTCCGCAGCCGACTACGGGGTGCATCTTCATTCTCCGCCGACTGCGGGGGGCATCTTCAGGCTCTGCCGTCTACGAAACCAGCGATTGAGTGCTTCTCTAAGCACCTGGATGTGTGGCGTGTATCTCGAGACTCCACTAAATCCTGTCACGATGGATGCTTCTATTGAGCTCCTGCGACTGTCATCTTCGAGGACTGGCGACGGGGCGGGGGTGCATCCTCGGGTGTCTGCAACCGTAGGGACTTCACGAGACTACAGCGCGTTCGGAGCTCTGCTGAAAATAAGGGGTTAGTGTGCATCTCCAGTCTTCGCTCACTGCGGGGTGCATCTCAAGGCTTCGCCGAATGCGGGGAGCATCTCCAGGCTTCGCCGAATGCGGGGTGCATCTTCTGGCTCTGCCAACTGCGGGGTGCATCTACAGGCTCTGCCGACTGCGGAGTGCATCTTCAGGCTTCGCTGACTGCGGGGTGCATCTTCATTCTCCGCTGACTGCGGGGTGCATCTTCATTCTCTGCTGACTGCGGGGTGCATCTTCATTCTCCGCCGACTGCGGGGTGCATCTTCATTCTCCGCAGCCGACTGCGGGGTGCATCTTCATACTCCGCCTACTGTGGGGTGCATCTCCAGTCTCCGCTCACTGCGGGGTGCATCTCTGCCGACTGCGAAGTGCATCTTCATTCTCCGCAGCCGACTGCGGGGTGCATCTTCATACTCGGCCTACTGTGGGGTGCATCTCCAGTCTCCGCTCACTGCGGGGTGCATCTCTGCCGACTGCGAAGTGCATCTTCAGGCTTCACTGACTGCGGGGTGCATCTTCATTCTCCGCCGACTGCGGGGTGCATCTTCATTCTCCGCTGACTGCAGGGTGCATCTTCATTCTCTGCTGACTGCGGGGTGCATCTTCATTCTCCGCCGACTGCGGGGTGCATCTTCATTTCCGCAGCGACTATGGGGTGCATCTTCATTCTCAGCAGCCGACGTGGGGTGCATCTTCAGGCTTCGCCGCATGCGGGGTGCATCTTCTGGCACTGCCAACTGCGGGGTGCATCTACAGGCTCTGCTGACTGCGAAGTGCATCTCCATTCTCCGCCTACTGCGGGGTGCATCTTCATTCTCCGCCGCCGACTGCGGGGTGCATCTTCATACTCCGCCTACTGTGGGGTGCATCTCCAGTCTCCGCTCACTGCGGGGGGGGTGCCTCTTCATTCTCCGCCGACTGCGGGGTGCATCTTCAGGCTTCGCCGAATGCGGGATGCATCTTCATTCTCCGCAGCCGACTACGGGGTGCATCTTCATTCTCCGCCGACTGCGGGGGGCATCTTCAGGCTCTGCCGATCTACGAACACCAGCGACTATGAGTGCTTCTCTAAGCACCTGGATGTGTGGCGTGTATCTCGAGACTCCACTAAATCCTGTCACGATGGATGCTTCTATTGAGCTCCTGCGACTGTCATCTTCGAGGACTGGCGACAGCGGGGTGCATCCTCGGGTGTCTGCAACCGTAGGACTTCACGAGACTACAGCGCGTTCGGAGCTCTGCTGAAAATAAGGGGTTAGCTTCTAGCACTAACTTTTATATTATTTTGTTTCCGTAACAGTAGAATGTTAATCTGTTTTAAGATACTGGCCATTCAAGGTGCAATAAACTGGTTTTAATTATCTTAAGACTAAAAGCACTTATTTTTTAATATGTTTGCAAATGTCTGATTTCTTGTATTGTTGTTTGTGTGCTTGTTGCCAGTCAAAGTAAAAATAAATATTGAAAATTTTGAATGTAATGTATTACATATACATTCCTTACGAGAAAAAATTGTTTTATGCCGTTTGTCCACAGGCTATTTAGGTTAACAGTTGTAAAACTCAAGAGTTCATTGCGTTGCAAATGGCTGCGAAGTATTGCAAAACCAGTTTTTTACTGATAACGAAATATTATTATTTTTTTACATTTTGCGACTAGCGGGTATATCTATTTCGCCTACGTAAATGGCACGTAAGGCACAAAACTTGTTTGTTTTCAGGTATCCAAACTATATTTAATACAAAAAGGCATATATCTGAGTAATATGATAACATGGATCAATTTAACAGTTTCATCAGTTCGCAAAAAAATAAAAGCATGGCCAGAAAATTAACCATACCTACAGATGGATAACAAACAAAAATATACCATAAAATAATAGCTACTAAAATGTGTAGGTATTTCAGGCTAACATACTTTTTCAGCTTAAAATCTCTTTCAGCTTATTAGATAAAAAGGCAAAATAACATACCACAAATGTAACCATGTCATGAGTAAAAATCTTATATGACGGCTGAACAATGACGTCAATTATTTTGCGATAGCTCGATTGTGTTATACCTACTATATCCTACACTGAAAATACCGTCTGATGTAAATACAAAACCTTACAGTATATCTACACTAATTTACTATTGACAAAACAAATAAGGAAGTTGGGGATACATTTTTAAGTTAAAGAACAATATATGATGCACCTGGGTGGGTCAGAGATATAAAGAATAATGGATGTGAAATTTATTCCTAGCCTATTCAAGATATAATATTCCAAATAATGATAAAAAGGTTTTATCTCAAAGGTCACAAAATTGTATACAAAAATTATGAGCAAAGACTGAATATAAATTACTCGAGACCAAGAATTCGGAATAATAAGGTAAGACCTTTTTCCACAAAAGGACTGATTAACAAATAGAACCAACACAGTACACAATGTCATTTTTTTGAGCGTAGAACCAAGATGTAGAGCGAAAAACAAAAATTATCAGCGAAGAACCAACGTGAACAGCGAAGAATGAACATGAAGAGCAAAGAAACAAAATGAAGAGCGAAGAATCAACATGAAGAGCGAAGAAACAACATGAAGAGCGAAGAAACAACATGAAAAGCGAAGAAACAACATGAAGAGCGAAGAACCAACTTGAAGAGCGAAGAACCAACATGAAGAGCGAAGAACCAACATGAAGAGTGAAGAACCTCAATTGAAATTTCACCTAAAATGGAAATTATAAAAAAAACTAATTGGGCCAGAACAAAAGTTCTGTAGTAAACTTTAAATCATTACTAGTATGAGACTGAATAACTTATACGAAGACTGAAAAACCCAAGACGAAGAATGAAGAACCAAGACTAAGACTAAAGAACCCAGACGAAGGCTGGCCAACGAAGATGAAGATGAAGACTGAAGAACGGAGATGAAGCCTGAAGAACGAAGATGAAGCCTGAAAAACGAAGATGAAGACTAAAGGACGAATATGGAGATGAAGACTGAAGACTGAAGAACGAAGATGAAGACTGAAGGACCAAGATGAAGGCTGAAGGACGAAGATGAAGACTGAAGAACGGAGATGAAGACCGACGAACGGAGATGAAAACTGAAGATTAAGACTGGACGACGAAGATGAAGAATAAAGATTACAGAGAATGGAAAATGAAGATAATGAGATGAACAAAAATTAAAAACGATTAACAAAAATGAAACTAAAGACCTTGATGAAAAACGATAATACAGAATGAAGATGAAAGACTGAACAACAAAAAGAAGGACAAAGATGAAGACTGAAGGACGAAGATGAAGACGTGAAGAACGGAGATGAAGCCTGAAGAACGAAGATGAATACGAAGACTGAAGGACGAATATGGAGATGAAGACTGAAGAAAGAATATGAAGAACGAATATGGAGATGAAGACTGTAGAAGGAAATGAAGACTGAAGAACGAATATGGAGATGAAGACTGAAGAACGAAGTTGAAAACTGAAGAACGAAGATGAAGACTGAAGGACGAAGATAAAGAACGCAGATGAAGCCTGACGAACGAATATGAAGACTGAAGAACGAAAATGAAGACTGAAGATTGAAGAACGAAGTTAAAGTCTGAAGAACGAAGATGAAGACTGAAGAACAAATATGGAGATGAAGACAGAAGAACGAAGATGAAGCCTGAAGAACGAAGACGAAGACTGAAAAACGAAAATGAAGACTGAAGGACGAAGATAAAGAACGAATATGAAGACTGAAGGACGAAGATGAAGAACGAAGACGAAGACTGAAGAACGAAGATGAAGACTGAAGAAAGAATATGATGAACGAATATGGAGATGAAGACTGTAGAACGAAATGAAGACTAAAGAACCAAGTTGAAGACTGAAGAACGAAGATGAAGACTGAAGAACGAAAATGAAGACTGAAGGACGAAGATAAAGAACGAATATGAAGACTGAAGGACGAAGATGAAGAACGAAGACGAAGACTGAAGAACGAAGATGAAGACTGAAGAAAGAATATGATGAACGAATATGGAGATGAAGACTGTAGAACGAAATGAAGACTAAAGAACCAAGTTGAAGACTGAAGAACGAAGATGAAGACGAAGACTGAAGAACGAATATGGAGATGAAGACAGAAGAATGAAGACGAAGACTGATGAATGAATATGAAGACTGAAGAACGAAGTTGAAGACTGAAGAATGAAGTTGAAGACTGAAGAACGAAGTTGAAGTCTGAAGAACGAAGATGAAGATGAAGACTGAAGAACGGAGATGAAGATGAAGAACGAAGATGAAGACTGAAGGACGAAGATAAAGAACGCAGATGAAGACTGAAGAACGGAGATGAAGATGAAGACTGAAGAACAGAGATGAAGATGAAGACTGAAGAACGAAGATGAAGATTGAAGGACGAAGATATAGAACACAGATGAAGCCTGACGAACGAATATGAACACTGAAGAACGAAAATGAAGACTGAAGAACGAAGTTAAAGTCTGAAGAACGAAGATGAAGACTGAAGAACAAATATGGAGATGAAGACAGAAGAACGAAGACTGATGAATGAATATGAAGACTGAAGAACGAAGATGAAGACTGAAGGACGAAGATAAAGAACGAATATGAAGACTGAAGACTGAAGAACGAAGGCGAAGACTGAAGAACGAAGATGAAGACTGAAGAACGAAGGCGAAGACTGAAGAACGAAGAACGAAGACTGAAGAACGAAGATGAAGACTGAAGAAAGAATATGAAGAACGAATATGGAGATGAAGACTGTAGAACGAAATGAAGACTGAAGAACGAAGTTGAAGACTGAAGAACGAAGTTGAAGACTGAAGAACGAAGTTGAAGACTGAAGAACGAAGATGAAGCCTGAAGAACGAAGATGAAGCCTGAAGAACGAAGTTGAAGACTGAAGAACGAAGATGAAGCCTGAAGAACGAAGATGAAGACGAAGACTGAAGAAAGAATATGGAGATGAAGACAGAAGAACGAAGACTGA